TCTGGCTTACTGGATTGGGTGAATGGGTGGTGCTGGGTTGATCTTTACGTTTCTTCTGTGTAAGGTGTACCACTTCAATGTTTCAAGTTCTACTCTGTGAAACCAAGGGTGGTGGTTGCCTATGTTTTATATGCCAAAGTTGAAACGGTCGTTTGTATAGATATAAGATTTATGCATTGTCTTATCCGAAAGAATTCATTGGTCATTGATAAATTCCGCTGCATAATTGCACCGTGCAATTTATGTTGTTGGCGTAAAAACAAACGTTACAGAAGGCTTATTAAATAATATGGACACAAGTGATCTATTTGAAGCTTGTCACGTTGACATAACATAATTATGTTATGTTACAAAGCTGCTTCAACAATGACAATTCACTGCCAAAATCCAAGATGGCGTCGATATTTTTGTACCGTCGACTATTATCACCATAGCTATTGTTTTCAAGCATTACTTTTATTTGGAGCAAAGTGCTGTCGGCGCCCCGCTTTAGAATTATTCGCTCGTAGTGCCAAAAGCATTTAACGACTTCCCTTGGCCTTGATTTTCGGCTGCCAACTGAAGACGTGAACATTTCTAGTGTGCATTGTCGCTTGCGCGCTCAAGTTTTGCCAAATATATTCATAATTGAGTGTTGCTTTCGTAATGAGGGCGCTTAGTTAATATGCTTTTATATTCTTATGTTTTCCTATTTAATTATTTTTCACATAGGACTATTACACTCACTTATTGATAGTCAAAACACTACCACCGGTTCGGAAAAGAAAGCCACTGTACTGAGAAGAACCGGCGAAAGAAACTCAGCGGGTTTTTTTTTTAAATAAGCAGTTTGACATAAATTCATAAAAAATGCAATATAAGAACTCCGATTGAAAGAGCCTGGAGCGATCAGTTCATTACCAGAGTGTGTTATCATTTAAATAATCATTAATATTATAGTAGCCTTTAACACACAAACGTTCTTTTACTATTTTTTTAAATTTAGCTATTGATGCATTTTGAACGTTTTCTGGAATTTTGTTGTAGTAACGTATACATTGTCCCATAAAAGATTTACTTATTTTTCGCAGTCTACCTGTGGGTAGGATCAATTTATTTTTGTTGCTAGTATTTATATCATGAACATTATTATGTCTAAAAATTAGGATACATATCCTTATTTTTAACAAAACATTTTCAAAAATGTATTGAGCAGCAACAGTCAATACCTTTATCTCTTTAAACAAGTTTCTTAACGATTCTTTGGGGCCCAGATTGTAAACTGCACGAATAGCTCTCTTAGTTGATTGCTCTAATACAAAAATTCAAAAAGTAGTCCATACAGATTGCTGGATCTACTGAATAAAAGCTTCGTATGCCTCTCCATAATTACAAATAAAATTTTGTTTTTTTTTAAATTTGCTGTGGCTCTACTTCTGTCGTTTGATTATTGGTGACTAAGCTCGAGGGCTCCCGTCGGAGCCTCGCCTCAGGCCGTCACCCTATTATTATTACTGGTTTAGGAGGCCGTTGAGCTCTTAAGGCGCTTTGGCGGACGCTCCACGGAGTAACTAGTTTAGGTGGCGAAGGTGCCCGAGAAAGTCAAGTCAAAATCAAAGTCAAAGTATATTTATTCAATATAGGCTTAACTTAAGCTCTTATTGCACGTCAACAAAAAATCTATCACCGGTTCACTGAACTAGACCTGCACAGAGAAGAACCGGCAAGAAACTCTGCGGCAAGACCGCTCTTCTTTTTGTTATTATTTTTTTTGATGCAATTGTACAAACTTATTTAGTTATAAAATCAGCAGCAGCCAGGGTTCTTGCAAGTGCAGAGCAAGAGTCATTTCCACACATCCTTGTCCTGAATGTATTCTTGGACATTATAGTAGGCCCTTGCCATTAAGGTAGCTTTTACAAATTGTTTAAAATTGTTTATATTTAGTTGTTTGTGCATGTCACCTATTTTATTATAAAAGTTGATGCATCTACCAAGAAACGACTTTCTGGTTTTAGCCAATCTAAACCTCTGTACTTCCAGAGTGTCACCACGGCTCCGACGCGATGTGGATTGTTTTTTCGTAAATAGGTGGATATTATTACGTACATACATGATGTTCTCAAGTATGTAAAGCGACGGGAGCGCTAAAACGTTTATTTGCTTAAATATATGCCTTAGTGACTCACGTGGACTCAAGCCATAGACAGTCCGTATAGCCTGTCTAAACTGGATGCGGAACTCCAAAGTAGGGCACCATAGGACATTATGCTGTGAAAATAAGCATAATAAACTAATTTAGCTGTTTCCTCGTTAGTTAGCTGCCTGATTTTGCGTATGGCAAAGACGGCAGCGCTCAATTTCTTAGCTAACTTATCTACATGAAATCCCCATTGCAACTTGGAGTCAACGCTTATTCCAAGAAATGCTGTTTAGTGCTCAAGTGGTAGGATTTTCTCATCAATAGAGATTCCTGATTGATGACACAACTTTGAAAGAGTAAATCTCTTTCAAAGTTGTGTCACCAATCTCACATTTTGTTTTATTGAAGTTCAAAAGTAAGTTATTGATAGCAAACCAGCCAGAGACAACATCTAGTATTTCATTTGGTTGTTCTAGTGCATCATCATTCCTTTTAACTTTAAACAATAGTGAAGTGTCATCCGCAAACAAAACAATTTGAGCCCTTTTTTCTACCACATATGGCAAACCATTTATGTAGACTAAAAACGGAAATGGGCCCAGGATCGATTCCTGAAGAACACCCATTTGTATTGATCCTGATGACAGTATACCATTTATAGTTACTTTTTGTTCCCTATCACTAAGATATGAGGAAACAAAATCAATGGCAAATTTTCGAATAAAATAATATTCCAATTTCTTAATAAGAATCTTATGATCTACACAGTCAAATGCCTTGGAGAAGTCACAAAACACACCAATGGTGTCATGAAAGCTTTCCCAGGACTGCAGGATATGTGAAACTAATTCTATCTGCATCAGTTGTAGATCTACCTTTAGTAAATCCAAATTGGTGCTGGTTTAAAATTTTATTTATTTTATGGTAATTAGAGGCATTATCTCTCGATCCCGATTTATATACTGGCACAACTTTACTATATTTCATTAACTTTGGGAATTTTTCCTAACATATTCATGGAAGTTAGGATCAAAAGATAATGGCTTAATACCATATAGATCATATAGTTTATCCCTGCTCTTTCTAATTCCCCTAGTTGTCCATTCACTAAAGCAAAGTTTATTGCCTAAAGTTATAAGTTTTTCTTTTTGGCATAGTTTTTTTAAATTCTGTAGTAATCATATTAAACAAGGCATTGAAATTGTCATCGGGATCATTATTAGTTAACATTAATAAGGGTAGCTTGTGTTTGACGCTATCTCTAAACTGTTTAATTCTGAATTTATTTACAAGCCTACACTCATTTATCATAAAATTATTTTTGTTATTAAAATACGCGTCTATTTTAACTTTTAACGGGCTTTATGGTCAGTTTAACGCCACTCAATATTTCTTGGTTTACGATTTTACCATAATATTAGTTGCTTTATCCTGTCGATGGCGACGTTCGTCTCATCTACAGGGAAGTCGAGAACGTGTCGTGGTCTAAGCCACTTACACCTACGACCACGATTGGGCGGCGTAATCGAAGTAGCGACGTGACGCCGACTTCAGGAATTGGTGGGCAGCTCTAAATCGCCATGTTAGTCGATGTTGTGCATGAACCGTAGCTTTGAGCAAAAATCGATTCTCGATGATCTGAATTCGGTGTATTTGCTTCGGAGCAATATGCGCCAAAACCAGACTTGTATATTATCACAACACGTTCACTTTTAAGAGACCTGTTGGTTAAACAGTACAATGATGAGAAACAGTATAATACGGTATTTCAAAGTCTAGTTGGGAACTGTAGATATATAATACCTACATATGTATGTACATATCATAAACAGTCATCCCTGTCACCAAGAGGGACAGGTGGAGTTAAGGACTTACACCTACCATCCATACACATTTTTCACCTTTCTATATTATTCAGATCAACGCTTACATGCACATCAAATACATTAAAAAAATATACACATGACACTTTCCTCTAATATACGTAAAGAATTAATTTACCGTATATTAAAATTGTTCTTTTACATTCCACATAATTGACTGTTGTTATTAATTAAAATAATGTCATAGTGATTCCAATATAACGATTCATTTAAGATGGCGATAAGACGAGACGAGCCAAATTCGCTTCCCACATTCTTGTTATGCCATATTTTGTAATTGCTTAAGCGACCTTCATGGTCTTTACAAGGATCGTTTAGTGTATCTGGATATCAGATCTTTTTTATTTCTTGGCTCTTGTGTTTCACTCGTTAAAAAGAAGTATTTTGTTTTAAATTATGCATGTGTACTATTATACGTACATCAACATTATATAGCATAGATAAGACATATATACTGAAATATATAGGTTATATAGGTTTATTTAAACCATAGATACTTTACTTTTTGTTTTTAACTGTTTCTCAAAGAGAATGTAATCACTACGTTTTCGGTTGCTGTTTCTTTTAATGGAGTGACATCTCCATGACAACGTTAATGGAAACATTGGATTGAACAACTGCGTATTGAAGTGATTGCTAGATTTAAAGCGTGTAGTTTAAATTAAGCTCAAAATATTATTCATTCGATTGATCCTAAGGTGATGTTATTTTTTTAAATGTGAGTACATATTTCTAGAAAATATGTTAGCGAAAAGAAATTAATAGATGTTTTTCGCATTTTGGTCAGCAATTTTGTTTTTCTTTAAATTATTATAACTTTTTATGTACATAATTGTTTTTTAAAATCAATTTTGTTAATGGTTCACTTTTGTGTGAAGCTTTTGATAAATTTATGATCGAGACTTAACTTCATAATCGATAATTTCCGAGACATTTAAAATTATTCAATTTCAGTTTTTTATCTTTGTTATTCACCTTTTTTCCAGTTTATAGTTATGGATCTGAACGTAATGGACAAACTGCGCCTGCTCAAAATCGACACGGATTTGCGGCCGCAGATAAAAATGAAACCGATGAGCCGTTATTATTTCCTCACATCGACGAATCCGGTCGAGCAATTTTTCGCGTTCGCCTCTACCGCCGCCTGGCTAATAAGGAAGACCGGCCAGGAGTTCGAGCAGCCGAACGAAGAAGACGACCCGAACGCAACGATAGCTAGCATTCTGGACGTGCTGCGCGAAAGAGAGGTGTCTGTGGACTTTTCCTCGCACAAACTCAAGCAGGGATGCGGCGATCAGGTGTGCTACATACTAAACGTTTTGGCGGACGAGGCGTTGAAGAAGGAGAACTTTGAATGGCAAAAACCCATCGTCGACATCGCCGAGCCCGAGGAATCCAGTGAGGACCTCGATCAGGTGGAGGACGAGACAGAGATATTTCTAGACAAGGTCGAAGAGGAGGAGGAAGTGTACTCAGACGATTCGAGCGATGAGAACAGAATAGAAAAGGATCCAGTGAAACCGGTCAGCAAGGTCCACGACTGGGAAGAGTGGAAGTTAGAAGTGGAGAGGGTCGCGCCGGCTCTGAGGCTGAAGATATCCGCAGACGGCAGGGACTGGAGGGCGCGGCTGGCGCAAATGGAGGCGTACAAGGGCGAACTGTGCGAAAGACTGAAAACAACTGGATCGCAGCTAAATAAGCTACACGGGAGCATCAGCTCCGTCATGGACAAGGTCGCGGCGCGCGAGAACATTCTGAACGAGCAGTTCGAGCCGTTGGTCAAAGAGTACGGATCACTGTTGAATGAGTTGAACAAGGTCAATAACGAGTACAAAGAGGTGAGCGTCGGCGTGACGGAGCGCCAGGAAAGGTTAAACGAGCTGACGGCGAAGCTGGAGAAAGTTAAACAACGGACGGAGCAGAAGGGGTCCTCGATGAACGACGCCTCGCCGCTGGTGGCGGCCAAGAAAGCGGTCGAAACCCTGAAAAAGGATATACAGGAGCTGGACTTCCAGATCATCGTGCTGCTCTGGTTGCTCATCTCGAAGGAGAACTCGAAGAGCAACAACTTTTTGACTAATCCCGAGTCCAGGATGAATTATAGTGAGGTGTATTGAAATTGTATTTTAAGTTTATAAGGCGTAAAATTATTGTTACCCATATCATGCGTTTATAATCAGAGGTCTCCAAAAGATGATCAGGCTGAATTGAGGATGATGAAATTTATAATATTCCTTTATGTCTGAACATAACATGCGCGTAAGGCAAGAGTGAACTGAGTTTACTGAGTTTTGCGTATTTACTATACAGGGAGACTTTTTTAAAGTTGCCCAAATTTACACAGGAGGTTCAGTCTCGGTAGTATAATCGTTTATTGAAATAAAAACTTCTATTGCCTAAAAAACAGAACTTGTTGGTAGTGGTAGTCATTCATAAATACGTAAATTTTCACACAAACGAACTTGTGTGCGTGTTAGTTATGAATGAGCGCGAGTAAAATAAATGAGTTGCGTATAATTCACGCACTTTTAGAGATAAGTTCAAATGAATGTAATTAATTACTAACGAGCGATTTAAAATATTTAGTATTTTTTATATAATATTATTTGTCTACAATTTAATTTAAAAAAAATGGACACAGAAAAGCCTCCCTGTATATCCGCGTCTTCACTTACCACCAGGTGGAAGACAGTTTCTTAAAAACAAATACATTTTTATTACCAAAAAATAAAACCGTCTTCAAATATCTCACCAGCTAAAATTTTTCTTTCGTCAGGGCGCGAATCCCGAAGACGTGGGTTCGATTCCCACAGCAGCGGCGAGAAACTTTTCGTTCCTTTTTCTATAAAAATTTTAACTAAAAAGTAAGCAGATTGCCAAAGGACCTTCATTAAGGGTTGCTAAGAAAGAAAACTAAATAAAACTAATGCACGTTTCTTACACATATCATATTCATATAAATGCACAGTTAAATATTAGAAAGACCTTGTTTTCCGAAGGTGTTTTTCATAGACAGTATTATGTACAACTAGAATTTTTATTTTTTGGTATTGCAATTAGAATACCAATGACACGTAAAAGCTAAAAAAAACCACTCATTTAAATCAGTTTATTTATTGTACGGTTTATTATTACATATTTTACACAACCCTTATAATTGCCTTTAAATATGATCCAATCTTTTACAAGATAAGAATAATTAAATAAAACATGCTTAGAAAGGAAAACGCTTTTAATGTATACCACAGACTAAAAATATAAAATAATACAAATCTATTACTTAGAAATAAAATATTTTTTCTAATAATTATATAAATAAAACTTTTAAATCACAAAAGAAACGATATTCAATGCTTTGGCTTTTATTTAAGGAAACAATACAAACGTACTTTACTAAGTCCGACATTAAACGATGTAACAATACATAGCAGTGACTTTATCTGCAACTGGTTTAATTATTTCAACTTAAGATTTGAACAGGCATAATTAAAATAAATATAAGTCTTTATATCTACCTTTCATCACATGAACGATTCGATAATTGACATCAAATAAAAAATAGTTGGCATTGCCTCTAAGAATATAATTGAAACAGAACTTAATTACTGTTTGTAGAAACTTTTGTTTCAATAGGTTTAAGTAGAATACAATTTTACATGAAAATTATAGGACGTAGGCCTTTAATATTTAAAACGTTGAGGAATTCAACAGTATTTTATATTAAAAAAAACCTAGGAACTCTCCAATCCATACGTAATTGTTTACTTTTAAGAATTTTACGGAATGAAAGTTATCTTTTCATTACATATTAAAACATATATTCTCAATGTGTACTTAAACTTCCTTTGTTTTCTTTTGATATACTACTTTCGTAAAAAAACTCTTAAATGCGGCAAGTTTTCTAATGGCATTGACAATAATGTACAAAAATATTAATTTCCATCTTTTCAATTTTATTGTATAGTGCTTTATATGTTTTTTCAATCTATTTTTAATATCATATTAAAGTATACGTCAATAATTTCTAAAAATTACGTTTATAACAAAATCATTGGTCTATATTATTGCTTAAATAAATATATGAAATATTCGAGTATTGACTGACAAATAACATATATAACTAAAAAAACGAACCAAAAAAAAATGAAAAGAAATAACACATATGCATCTGTGGGAAATAATTACCGAGAAAGTTAAAGCAATTCTTATTCTCTAGTTTAAATTATAAAAATATAGTTCTTACACATAATAATACATGTTTTTAATATATAATTTAAATATTCATTTAACAAACTAAATTAAAATATAATGTAGGCTTATTCCATTGTATCAACCAGAGGTGCGCCGAATATGGGTTCGACCAAATACAAACTATCAGCCGAATAATTCGAACAGGTTCATATAAGTGGAGCATTAGCTAAGCTATTAGCTTCGTCGACGAGGGTCGTGGGTTCGATACCCACACGGGACAAGTATTTTTGTGACCTACAGACTGTATCAATACCAGGTATATAAATATTTGTGTGACATACACTCGAAACTGTATCAATACCAGGTATATAAGTAGGGAATCGTTCTTTCTTTATGATAACCGAATATTCGGCAGAATATGAACATTCGACCGAACATTCGGCGCAACTCTAGTATTAACTCCTTATATTTAAATAAAATCACATACACATAGTTACAATTATTTTGAAAAGCAACTAAAATTACAACTAGATAAATGGGTATTCAGTTATTTTGCCAATATTTTTATTGTAATAAAAAAAATTCTAAACAATTGATGTAATTTAAATTATTTAGACTAAACAGTTTAGACTATAAACTTTAGAGGTTTCACATTTTATTTAGGTGTATTTTATTAAAATTAATTTTACTATTAATACAAACATGAAATGGTATTAACCGATGAAACCGATTTTGTAATATTAATTTTATTCAATACTTTTCATAATGTGGGCCGGTAAATTAAAAAAAAAAAAACAAAGTACCCACACAATTTTTTGTGAAGTAATAACGACTAATTTTAGTATGTATGCGAGGTCTTAATTAAGAAGCAAATAAGTCTTTTCTTCCTTTCCGTATTTTTTTTAGCACATCGTGTGTTTTCGAGATAAGACTTACAAAACTAGACTTATAACAATTGATTAGTATAGAGAATCGTTGCCATCTAATTGAGGGGTACTTATCGTATTAAAATTATACGACTTGTACATACATTTAATAGAGGTTTTTTTGTTAATAAAAAACTGTGGAATATAATTGTTATATATGCTGAGCCCTTAGCTGTGATTGTGTGATATGAGAATTTGTTTGATTGCAACGGAAACGTGTAAGCGGAAATGGAACAGTGGCGCCATCTACGTAAGATCATAAGGAAATAGGCGAGAATTTCATTGCTTCCTAAAAATTAAAAAAAAACAATCTCTTGTTACTAACAATCTCAGCCTTGTTGTCAAAGTTCTGTCATAATGATGACATAAATACACGCGCTATAGTTCATTTATTGTCCAAGAGTGCAGCGGCATCACGTGTGTTTATTTTTGCAATAAAACAGTTTACGTGACAAAAAGTGTAAGACGTGAAACAAATACGATACCACAAAAACTTCTAAGTTTAATGTATCTCTTATCGGAATAAAATCACTTACACGTATCATTATGCTTTGTCTTTTTGGTTGAGCAATAGGCTTTTAGCCTGCCCCAAGTAGATCGACGTTGTACTTCTTTCAGGTCTTCCATGAACTCCTGCTTCAAGAGCGCTAGGCATCTGGGAATTTCGGAATACGCAGCAACATTTAATTCACATGTAATAAAGAACAGGTGAAAATGTAAGAGCGGCCTCGCAGAATGATAAAACTTGTATTATAGGAGTGGCTGAGACTGGAAAATGAGAACCTTTAGTTAGAGTGATATCTTTCATTTTGCCATCTAATTGAGGGGTACTTATCGTATTAAAATTATACGACTTGTACATACATTTAATAGAGGTTTTTTTTGTTAATAAAAAAACTGTGGAATATAATTGTTATATATGCTGAGCCCTTAGCTGTGATTGTGTGATATGAGAATTTGTTTGATTGCAACGGAAACGCGTAAGCGGAAATGGAACAGTGGCGCCATCTACGTAAGTTCATAAGGAAATAGGCGAGAATTTCATTGCTTCCTAAAAATAAAAAAAAATAAAACAATCTCTTGTTACTAACAATCTCAGCCTTGTTGTCAAAGATCTGTCATAATGATGACATAAATACACGCGCTATAGTTCATTTATTGTCCAAGAGTGCAGCGGCATCACGTGTGTTTATTTTTGCAATAAAACAGTTTACGTGACAAAAAGTGTAAGACGTGAAACAAATACGATACCACAAAAACTTCAAGTTTAATGTATCTCTTATCGGAATAAAATCACTTACACGTATCATTATGCTTTGTCTTTTTGGTTGAGCAATAGGCTTTTAGCCTGCCCCAAGTAGATCGACTCCTGTTTGGAGGGCTCATCCAAGGTCACGTTGTACTTCCTTTTCAGGTCTTCCATGAACTCCTGCTTCAAGAGCGCTAGGCATCTGGGAATTTCGGAATACGCAGCAACATTTAATTCACATGTAATAAAGAACAGGTGAAAATGTAAGAGCGGCCTCGCAGAATGATAAAACTTGTATTATAGGAGTGGCTGAGACTGGAAAATGAGAACCTTTAGTTAGAGTGATATCTTTCATATCGCGAGAGGCTAGTATTGATTTAATTGGGAGAGTTAAATGTTCGAATTAATATGGAGTCCAAAATAGTGGGGCAAGTAAAACATGGTAAGCGGCAATTAGGCGGGCTTTGAGAAAAGGAGGTTTTGGGAGAGGTGGGCTAGAGAGATGTGGGCTTTGGGAGAGGAGGTAAGACGTTGGAGACGTGGGCTTTTGAAGACGTGGGCTTAGGGATAGGGGTGGGCTTTTGGAGACGTGGGCTTTGGGATCGGAGGTGGGCTTTTGGAGACGTGGGCTTTGGGATCGGAGGTGGGCTTTTGGAGACGTGGGCTTTGGGATCGGAGGTGGGCTTTTGTAGACGTGGGCTTTAGGAGACGTGGGCTTTAGGAGACGTGGGCTTTAGGAGACGTGGGCTTTTGGAGACGTGGGCTTTTGAAGACGTGGGCTTTGGGATAGGAGGTAGGCATTGGGAGAGGCGGTGGGCTTTTGGAGATGTGGCCTTTGGGAGAGGTGGGCCTTAGGAGGGGTGAGCTATGGTAGAGCTGGGGCTAAACTCACATGCGGTAGCGCGGGTCCGCGCGGAAGGCGGTGATGTCGTGCGAGGGCGCGTGCGGCGTGTGCACCACGAACGCGCCCGGCAGCACCACCGCGCGGTAGCCTTGCGCGCGCAGCTCCACGCTGTGCGACACCTGCCGGTCCGGGGTTCATACCTCACTTCGCACTTGGCAAGTGTTCTTCGAAACGCTCGTAAGCTGATTTCTCATTCTCAGCGCTGGTGCAACTGTTTCTCGAAACGCTCGTTATTTGATCTCGTTAAAAGCCAACGTGAACAGAAGTACACTGATGTTAGAACACTATTCACATTTCACGAAATTCATTAAGGCCCATATCTGATTGGTTCTGAGCCTTGTAGCCGTCTCCTAGCAGGGATTTGTGATAATTTTTGGCAGACAGATGGTATTACTAAGTGTTAAAATTTATATGTTTTAAATGACATACCTTATTCCAGCCGAAGCCGGAGAATCTAGTGTCGTATTTAGGGACCGACCGATGTACGACCAAATAGGGCTCGTAATCCGATTGCCACTCCACCTGGAAAAATAATACTTTACCAAACTTTTGTGTTCATTTGGAAAGCACTCGTAAAAATACAAAAAGGAAAGAATGATTTCATCTTTACAGTCTCATGGGCCACACAGCTGCTTCTACTGCCTTATAAACAATCGACGTGAAGATGTAACTATTCTACTTCTTGGTTTGGTGATTGAGGTAACTGGAGCGGTACGTGGTCATTCCGAAAAGAGCAATGTAGCAATGTAGCTACTCGACCGTTGGTACTGTTACGCGGTACGTGGCGTGGGTATTTTGAAAAGAGCGATAAAAGTAATCAACCATCGGTACAGTCGCGCGCTACATGGTCATTCCGAAGAGTGATGAAGCTACTCGAGCGTCAAAACAGACGCCTTTTATCCTGGGTCATTTAGAAAACAGCGATCAAGCTACGCGGCCATCAGTACAGTCGCGCGGTGCGTAGTCATTTCGAAAAGAGCGATGAAGCTACTCGGGCATCGGTACAGTGGCGCGGTGCGTGCCCACCTCGTAATACGCGAACGGAGAGCCACCTGCTGTAGTTTGTGGTGCGGTGGCTATTTCAGAAGGAGCGTTACATTTATTCGATCAGCGGTACAGTCACGCCGTACATGATTAATGCAATGAAGCTACTCGGCCATCCGTACAGACGCGCCTGACGTGGTGATTACACAAATAGCGTCGCATTTACTCGACGTTGGTATAGTCGCGCGGTGCACGGCGTACTTCGAAAAGAGCGTCGCATTTACTCGACCGTTGGTATAGTCGCGCGGTGCACGGCGTACTTCGAAAAGAGCGATGAAGCTACTCAGGCATTGTTACAGTCACACGGTACGTGATTATTCCGATGAAGCTACTAGTATGCTGGTACAGTCGCGCGGTGCACGGCGTTCTTCGAAAGAAGCGATGGAGCTACTCGGGCATCGGTACAGTCGCCCGGTTCGTAGTCATTTCGAAATGAGCGATGAAGCTATCCAGGCATCGGTACAGTCGCGATGAAGCTACTAGTATGCTGGTTACAGTCGCGCGGAATATGGCTCGCGCGTGCGTGATTATTCCGATGAAACTACTCGGGCATCGGTATAGTCGCCCGGTTCGTAGTTATTTCAAAAAGAGCGATGAAGCTACTCAGGCATCGGTACAGTCGCGCGGTGCGTGATTATTCCGAGGAAGCTAATCGACAGTTGGTACAGTAGCGCGGTGCACGGCATACTTCGAATAGAGCGATGAGGCTACTCGGTTATCGGTACAGTCGCGCGGTGCTTACCCACCTCGTAGGGCACGTCCGCGGCGAGCCACCTGCTGTAGTTGGTGGCGCGGTGCCCGCGCGGCCACTCGCGCGCGCGGAACGGCGCCACGTCGCCGGCGAGCCGCGCCCGCAGCGCCGCCTTGCTGCGCGGCGGCGACGCGCGGTACCTCTGCGTCTCGAACGCCGCCACCACGAGGCACTGAGCAAGGGCAACTTGATGGACCATTGGCGCAGTGCCCACAGTATCGGCTGTTTGTGTGACCCACAGATGATTGTTGGTCCAAGTGAAATTAATGCTTGAAAAAGTCCTTCCGGCACAGGATAATGTTATCCTACAGTAAGGGTAATGTACAATAATAATCACGTGAAGAGTGCCCATAGTATCTATCGGCGCTGATTATTTACATTCTTATTTTTTTTTTCCAAACATTGCCCTTACTGTATGATACCAGTATTCTGTGTTGTAAGGACTTTTTATAAGCATAAATTTCATATGAACAAACACCCAGATCCGAAACAATTAACTGTGGGTCAAATAAATAGGTGTCTCGGGTGGCAATCGAACCCACGACCCCACGGCGCCGAAGCCAATGCATTAGCAACTGCCAAACACCAAGCTCTAGTTCTGCCTTATAGGATTTTAAGAGTAATCTTTTTTCTTTATTACCATATAATCGCAGCACTAGTACAATATATTTTTTAAAATCCTTTTCGCCATACCGTACAATGGCGGACTTAACACCATTGTGTTCTCTACCGACAAATAAATGGAAAAAATGAGGAGGTGCTATAGAAAAGAAAAAAAAAAAAATCACTATTCGTCGGAGGTGTCATGTCGCCCTTTATGTGTGTGCTAAGTTTCATAATATCCTAACTTATCTCGAGTTTATGTGAACATACACACATAAATTATTGTGTGTTTTGTTATTCAAATAAATAGTACATATGCAATGCAACTTTAGTAAAATACCCACCTTTTTCTGTGCGTAGGGATTGATCAGTTTGATGGCGTAACGCAGGTGATCGTACAGACCAGCCATCGGAACGAAGTCTACGTCCATCAAGAACACGTACGGCGTGTTGACATTCTCCAGGGCCACGTTGCGCAGATAGTTCACTGGGTAGTGCACCTGGAAAATGGGCCCTATTGCGTTCAGCACAGAGTTCATTATAGGTTTGATACGAAGGACAATTGCCATTTGCCAGTCAACCGGGTAGTGCACCTGGAAATTGGGCCCTATTGCGTTCAGCAAATATTTCATTATAGGTTAATTGCGAAGAACAATTGCCATCGCGTCCGGGTAAGTGCCACGACCTGACAGAAGACCAGCGTAAAGTGGAGGTATGACAAATACTTTCGCGTTTTCGTCTGGTGAGTGAGGTAGCCGGAGCCCAATTTTCAAAAGGTTGTCAACGCATCTGTAACCCTCGAGCGTGGCAGATGTCCATGGGCGGCGGTATTCACTTAACATCAGGTGAAGTGAACCGTCTGCTCGTTTGAAAACTTTTCGCATAAAAAAAAAATTGTCAGTTAGTTCACTGGATAGTACAGTTGAGAGTTGGGCCCTATTGCGTTGAGCATAGAGTTCATTATAGGTTAGATACGAAAGACAATTGCCATTTGTCAGTTAGTTCACTGGATAGTGCAGATGAGAGTTGGGCCCTATTGCGTTGAGCATAGAGTTCATTATAGGTTAGATACGAAGGACAATTGCCATTTGTCAGTTAGTTCACTGGATAGTGCAGTTGAGAGTTGGGCCCTATTGCGTTGAGCATAGAGTTCATTATAGGTTAGATACGAAGGACAATTGCCATTTGTCAGTTAGTTCACTGGATAGTGCAGTTGAGAGTTGGGCCCTATTGCGTTGAGCATAGAGTTCATTATAGGTTTGATACGAAGGACAATTGCCATTTGTCAGTTAGTTCACTGGATAGTGCAGTTGAGAGTTGGGCCCTATTGCGTTGAGCATAGAGTTCATTATAGGTTTGATACGAAGGACAATTGCCATTTGCCAGTTAACCGGGTAGTGCACCTGGAAATTGGGCCCAATTGTGTTCAGCAAATATTTCATTATAGGTTAATTACGAAGAACAATTGCCATCGCGTCCGGGTAAGTGCCACGACCTGACAGAAGACCAGCGTAAAGTGGAGGTATGACAAATACTTTCGCGTTTCGTCTGGTGAGTGAGGTAGCCGGAGCCCAATTTTCAAAAGGATGTCAACGCATCTGTAACCCTCGAGCGTGGCAGATGTCCATGGGCGGCGGTATTCACTTAACATCAGGTGAAGTGAACCGTCTGCTCGTTTGAAAACTTTTCGCATAAAAAAAAAATTGTCAGTTAGTTCACTGGATAGTGCAGTTGAGAGTTGGGCCCTATTGCGTTGAGCATAGAGTTCATTATAGGTTAGATACGAAGGACAATTGCCATTTGTCAGTTAGTTCACTGGATAGTGCAGATGAGAGTTGGGCCCTATTGCGTTGAGCATAGAGTTCATTATAGGTTAGATACGAAGGACAATTGCCATTTGTCAGTTAGTTCACTGGATAGTGCAGTTGAGAGTTGGGCCCTATTGCGTTGAGCATAGAGTTCATTATAGGTTAGATACGAAGGACAATTGCCATTTGTCAGTAGTTCACTGGATAGTGCAGTTGAGAGTTGGGCCCTATTGCGTTGAGCATAGAGTTCATTATAGGTTTGATACGAAGGACAATTGCCATTTGTCAGTTAGTTCACTGGATAGTGCAGTTGAGAGTTGGGCCCTATTGCGTTGAGCATAGAGTTCATTATAGGTTTGATACGAAGGACAATTGCCATTTGCCAGTTAACCGGGTAGTGCACCTGGAAATTGGGCCCAATTGTGTTCAGCAAATATTTCATTATAGGTTAATTACGAAGAACAATTGCCATCGCGTCCGGGTAAGTGCCACGACCTGACAGAAGACCAGCGTAAAGTGGAGGTATGACAAATACTTTCGCGTTTCGTCTGGTGAGTGAGTGAGGTAGCCGGAGCCCAATTTTCAAAAGTTCAACGCATCTGTAACCGTCCATGGGCGGCGGTATTCACTTAACATCAGGTGAAGTGAACCGTCTGCTCGTTTGAAAACTTTTCGCATAAAAAAAAATTGTCAGTTAGTTCACTGGATAGTGCAGTTGAGAGTTGGGCCCAATTGCCTTCAGCGTAGAGTTCATTGTAGGTCCGTCATGAATATCAATTGCTATTTGTAAGTTCGTGCATTTATTCAAGTTATTAAGGAAGAAAAACCACGTCGAAAGTCGAAACTTTGGATGTGTTTATACAAAGGGTAACAATAAATATAAAGTAAAAATAATTAACAAAACAAAACAAAAATAAACAAAACAAAAAAAATATACTTTCAATTACTTCTTACCGGTAATTTTTACTTTGTCTGTTTATAAATTAGGAGCTATGCTAAAATAGTCGTCACCCAGAAATATGTGTTGGTAAATACTACAACTACGAATCAACAAAGAAAATATAATCCTAAGTATAAATAAATAAGCATAAAAAGGGAAAAGAACGTACACATCAACTCGTGGAAAACGAGCTATAAGTTCACCTGATGTTTTTTATTTAAAAAAAAAAAAACAATCCTCTTACTTTAGGATAACATTATCCTGGGCTGTAAGGACGTTTTACAAACATAAATATCACGCGGACAAACGCCCAGATGCGAAACATCTATCTGTGGGTCACACAAATAGGTGTCTCGTGTGGGAATCGAGCCCACAACTCCCTTTAGTGATATCATAAGTGATATCCCCGCCGTTTGACATTTGCAACACCCGTAGGGTTGCAGATGCGTTGCCACCTTTTAATAAAGTGGGCCCCGGCTACCTCACACACCAGACGAAACGCATAAGTATGACACTTCTAGTTCACGCCCGCCCTCTGTGCGGTCGTGGTACTTACCCGGACGGACCCTGTCCATTCGTGCAACAGCTGAAGCTGTTACGCGGCCCTGCCACAGCTGCAACGCAATTTTTCACAACTACTTATGTACTCATGAGTACTGATGTTAATCCTTACTAATATCATAAAGGCGAAAGTTTGTGTTAATGGATGTTTGATTACTTTTTCACGCAAATACTACTGAATGGATTTTAATTAAACTTTACAATAATATAGCTTAGCATAGGCTATAATTTGTATACATAATTTTATGTATATTTTTCTTTCTATCTGAATGTTACGTCTTCAGCCTATTCTACTCAGACGTAGTCGCGGGCAGCAGCTAGTATCTAATATACAATGAGTGTTAGTTGGTACTCTACGTATTCTTCCGTCTTCTCCCATAAAATATCGTTTAGATCTTACCGCGTCATGCTTGAACACCAGGTGGTAGCCGATGTTCCGTCTACTGCTGAGCGTGCCCGACCAGTCCCGTATGAAACTCTCGAATTTGGTCACCTCGCAGTCCGACAGGTAGATGGCGGCGCTCAGGGGACCTAGGCGAATGGAGACACAACTTTAAACAGATCGAAATAAACCGCTTGGCGAGGTGGATATGTTGTTTTGTGCGCCAGGGGATATTTATTCGGTCCCTGCTATGAAATAGTTTTTTCCTAGTGTCTGTTTGTTTATACATCTATGGTATGTAGTAATAACGAAACAAAAGTATTTTTAAGTATGTATTATCTGGCACCCATAGTACGAGATTTGTTTAGTTTGGAATTGTGTTTAGTTGTATAAACAAAATGTGGATGTTGGATGCATATAGCGTCGAGAGTATATCGTTGGTTGTGGCGTTCTAAGGGTCTATCTTCAATAGCGGACGTCTTATGGTTGATGTTGATAATATATGCCCAGAAATATGTATTTATGTTACAGTTGTAGCGAGTATGAATAATAATGTAACGTTAAAGTAATGATTGCAATAATTAAAAATCTAATTTTCTCCACCTTCCCAGTACTTGACCAGTCGTTCGAGGAACTGCAGACGGTCCATAGACAACTGCAGGACCAGGGTGACGTCGAAATTGTCTATGTCCGTGTACGTGTACTCCATGTAGTACAGGTGTGTGCGCAGTTTGACACGCTGCGCCGTTCGGAAACTCAGACACAAGTCGGACTGGTTCATCTGGGGAGGAAACGTCATTGTCAACAAGACCATAGACAAGATGACTAAAAGGAGGAAGGTTTAGAGCAAAGCAGCATCGGATGTTGCACGAATGGGCAGACTCACCCACGGGTGAAGCACCGCCTAACAGAAGACCGGTGTGAAGTATAATACTGCGCGTTTCGTCCGATCGATCTGAGTGAGGTAGACGGGGCCCACTTTTTGAAAGTTGTCAACGCTCGCGTAACAAGTTTTAACATTAAATAACTCAGTCCTCAGTAGCGTCATAACTATCAAAGTACAATTGAATGTACTGCATTGGCAAAGCAGCTCAGGCATTCAGCCTGACTCGAATATCTAAAACGCTCACATCGGCGACACTATCTTATTTCATCGATTAGTATTGAGCGGATACATCTATCTCTCTTCGCCTCATATCTCTCTTCTCTCAAGTAAGCTCTTGACTATCCTCCAATCATCTTATCGTCCCTAGAAAGTTTGGCTTAATTTTTTTTGTATTTATTTTACGTGACGTACCTTATGAGTGACGGATTCGGGTTGCGAACACCTGTGCAGCTTTTCCCTCAACAGTTCCCCGTCGAGGTTGACGTAAGAGAGGTGTATGTTCCTGAAGTAATCGGAGTCCCTCGTTCTGATGTTGTACTTTGTCGGTGAGTTCCAATGTATTATCTGTGGGATGTCACAGAAAAAAGTTTAAACACAACGGAGAAAATCAGGCCATAATAGTTAAAGCGAAACAATTCGTGTATTTATTTGTGTACTAGAAACTCTCCCCCCGCGAGACCGCACGGGAAACGCTAAATATCGTAAAAGAAAAAAAAATGTGTTCATCCGATCGCTACCAAACTTCGCACGATGTGGTCTGAAAAATTCCATCAAAATACGCCCAGACATTAAATAGGCCATAGGGAACATAAGTTATTATAAAAATAATGATACTATAAATAGCACTCTTACTTCGGAACGGTTTTGTTCATTCAATGTCTATAAAATATGACAATTAAAAAAGTGCCTTATGATCAAAGCAATAGAGATAGTTTCACCTTAACGTTATCCCTGTCTTCGCCGTAGCAGCCCTTTGCCAGCGTCTTCGTCGACATCTGCACGTTGTATTGGCAGCTCATGTTGTAGACGAAGGTGGGGTTGTCCTTTATCAGGGCGTTGATCACGTCCTGATCCGCGAGGGTGGTCTGCTTGAGTCTCTCGATGTTCTGGCTGACCGCGCTCCGCCACAACGAGCCCCAGTCGACCCTGGACCTGATCTTCGCGAGGTCAAGCAGCATCACGCCCGTGTTGTAGCCCCTGCCGAGGGCGGGCCAGCGCTTGGCCGTGTCGAAGTACCAGTTGCTCTCGTTCTCGACCAAGCCTATCAGCTGGCGAGGAAACTTCAATTTATACCAGCTTTTTTTTATGTGAGAAGTTGCCAAACGAGCAGACGGTTCACCTGATATTAAGTGAATACCGCCGCCCATGGACATCTGCTACACCCGAGGGTTTGCAGATGCGTTGACAACCTTTTTGAAATTGGGCTCCGGTTACCTCACTCACCAGACGAAACGCGAAAGTATTTGTCATACTTCCACTTTACGCCGGTCTTGTCATAATGTTGCACGCCTGATGTTTTTTATAATACTACCATTACAGTCTAAGAGCTAGCAACGTTTTCGAGAGAGAGTTTCAGGTAGGTCAGTTTTTACATATCCTATCTCTCTCATTCTCCAGGACGTCATACGGGCTATTTGGCTGGCGGTAGCCGGATAGCCCGTGACGTCGGGAAGAGTGTGAAAGATAGCGTATCTGAAATTTTTGTTTTCCCGACGTTGCTAGCTCTCGTACTATTACAACGAGTTTTGTCTTGTCGTTGATCAAATGTCTATGCTCCCTCTCTCACCGGCTCACTAACGTTTGGCAATTTGTTAAACGGTAATACTTTAAGTTCTCTATTAAAAACAGTTTAAATTATAATCAAGTGCTATATTTATATACAACAAATCTCTTCCACTTCCTCTATATCCATGCATCAACGCTTGACGGTCATGTGTTCTCGATACCTTTATCCATATACGCCTTCTAGGGTTTTAGCTTTGTCAAATATTTACGGATTATTAACAAGACGGAATCTTATAAATCGATAAGGTACGGCAATGATCGATTTTGAGGATTATGTGAAAGTTGGCAAGCGAGCAAACGGTACACCTGATATTTAGCGATTACTACCCAAGATGGAAATCCACAACAACTAACATATCGATGCGTTGCCAACTGCCGGATGAAATCATTGCCAACTGCTGGAGTAAATGCAAAAGTATAAATCTCCACTTCGGACCGGTCTTCTTTCAGGTCGTGGTACTCCACGGACGGGCCTGCCCATCCGTGCAACAGAACTGCTGTATGGCCCCGCCACAGAACTCCAATGTGGCAAACATTCGCTTTGCGTAACGCAGGCCCACTCACCTGGTCGTCGCTCATGTTCCTGAACATGTACCATAATTCGGCGACGTCACAAAGGAAAGTCAAGTCCGAGTCCAGCACTATGACCTGGTCCAAAGTGGGCGGCAGTATGTCGGGGAACAGTAACTTGACGAGCGCGTAGACGCCCGAATAGTGGCTGTTCGGTATCCAGCGAACTTCAGGGAGGCGGCTTTGCGCATCGTAGCATGTGTATTTCACTGGAATGTGTCTCGATATGTTATTTCTCAAAGGCGTTTGTTAAGTATCTTTGTACGTACGCCATGAATTCTCCATGATATTTAATGGTTCAAACACTATTCTAAAGCTTATGTTTTCACCTATTGACGAGAAATAGACAGGTGAAATTAAGATATTTACTTTAAAAAAACGGTCGTTTAAAAATTTCGTATAACGCTTGTATGATATTAATAAATAAATAAAATTTGTTTTAATCATAGACGAATAGAGTGAAAAACGTAAGCTTTTTATTCGTTTGTCTCAAAATAAAAAACATTTACCAAATGATAAATATTTATTAACACTTTATTATACTACTATTCGGTGACGGTGTGACAATTTCGCATGGGATAAGTAATATGTTTTTAGGTAATATAAGAATTGTAGATGAGTAATTTGTCTCTATATAAAAGAATAGAGCAAGCACTTAAGTTAATCCTTCAAGCTCCAAATAAGGAAAAAAGTACTGTTTAAGATAGGGCTACATATACAGTATAGTAATGCAAAGTTAAAGTTGTAAGCGATTTGTAAAAGTTTTTTCTTAAATAGAATTCTATAAAAAATTATTATAACTGAAAACGAGAGAAGGCTTTTTTACAATTGTCAATTCTTATTACAGTTAGTTATCTCTTAAGTTAACATACATACACTATACACATTAAGAAAACTACTTTAATAAGTTTATGACATATTAAGACAAATATATTCACATTTATTTTTTAACACCTAAAATAGCACAATTGTTAAGAAATCAGGAAATCAAATTTCATTTCAATTAAATATCTGTCTGTCAATATTGCCTTCATAACTATAAAAATTAATAAGAAATTTAAGCATACCATCAGGGAGGTCCCAAGTGTCAAACAGCTTTGTTGTAGTTTGGTGCGCAGGTGAGTCAACAATAAAGTGGAAATGTATTGGGTTCTGGCGGTGCTGTAGCAGCGATTTGAGCATTGGCATTATAATGCGTGTACACTTTCCCATGCAAACTAAGGCTATGTGGATTGTTTCGCATATTGTTCCAACTGTGTCTGGTATCTGTAGAGAAATCAACAAAAACAACAAATTAATTAAGTTTACTTTTATTAAATTTAGGTTTGTTTGAAGCTCTTTGAAAATTACCACTGCATCACTAATTAAACCAGTTAAAATAAAACAGGCAGTTAACTTACTTAAAGAAACACAGTAATTAATTTAAATAATTATCACCATACAAACCCCAGTAGCCGAGGCATGTGCAAGTTTAAATTAATTCAATTCTATACCCATTTGTTCTAATTGTATTGGGCTACATTATAATGGCCTCTTTCCATTGGAGTTTCATACAAGTTTCTTCAAATTTTGATTGTTTTGTAGCTTGTATAATATAAAAAATATAATAATACAAGCACAGGATTATATAAAAGTTAGTTTTGAGTGATAATTGTTAACTTTTAAAAAGCAACTTTGACTTTTAAAATGATAGGAAACCAGTCATTATGTGGGAGAAATAACTTATAATTGTCTAACTCAAAATAACACTATCATACTAAACTCTAAATTTCTGCATTTGAACTTGTGGCTGATGTGATCTTAGGTTAGTTAGAAATTTAAAATAAAAATAGATAGATACATATTCCAATTTCATATCTGAAATATGACAAATCAGGTTTTATCACCTCACATGTTATAAATAAGAAAAGGAAGTATTGATTGTTTCTATATAATCACATAATGGTAGAACAATTTTTCTTGTTGTGACTTCATAAATATGCATAAGGAAATGCCAATAATTTATTGTTGAAATAAGAAAATGGTGATATAACAATATGTAATGCCTTCAATCTAACTATTTTAACATTATAGCCATTTTATCTAAGCCTGGTATTTTTGTTAAAATGAAAAGCTAGATTTTAAGGAAGCAAAAGTGATTTTTTTGCTACAATGTTCTTAAGATCACTATAATATTAAATTTTATAATGTCTTACTTACCACAGGAACATGATAGGTGGTATCAGATATTACTGATATTTGTCTGATTGCGTTCTGCGACAATTTTAATTGAGACTTAAATACCTCATTCTGTGTTTCAAGCACATTAATACGGGATATCAGCCACCAATAATACACAACAGAAACCGCAATCCATATCCCTAAAGGCACCCCTAGCCAGGGTCGAAAAAATAAACAGGACACCACATTCTTTGATCGCCAATTCATTATTAAATCTTCATCATATGATAATTGTTGATTGAGGGACTAAATTTGCTGCATTCTGTAATCCTGTTTCTTTGAGGTTATATCTACGACTTCTGGAAAAGAAATTGAAGATCAGCTCAGTTTTCTTTTAAATTGAAGTTAAATAATTATGAACATAAAACACTGGGAATTGGGCGTAAGTTACCTATAGGATATTATACAATATTGATTTTTCATATTAAATATTTATTTGTTTTCTTTTGGACTGTTTAAATAAATATTTTAATGTTATTATTTATAAACGTTAACTATCTAAAAAGAATGGTAGGTGTACAATTTAAAAAAAAACTTTATTGCGATTTTTGAAAATACTAAGACCCCCGTGTTTTTGAATATTACACCTACAAGGCACGTCATATTTAAAAAGAAATCAAAAGAAGTCTATTAAAAGGTTACGGTATAATTATAAGGACAATCTAAAGTCCTTTTGAATAGCTACTGAAACAATGAATCAAGTCGCTTTTATGAATAAAATATACATCCAACACTCACCACAATCGTCGCTTGTTTCAGAAAAAATACTCCCATTATACCGATATATTATTCATAAAGACAGCATACTTAATGTGCACCATTATTTAGCAGCTATGTACATTGAATGTAAAATGTACTGTAGTTTATTGTTAAAGATAAATTAAAGTGCCTAATCTCTTCCCGTTTTCACCCTCAAAACAAATATGTCAACATTGTTAATTTTGTCAATGTCAATGTCACTTTGAAAATGTCAGAACGTTAAACGAATACTTAATTTCGCCCTGGTTACCAAAATATTGCGCATGTTTAATATTTACCATAAAACTTTTTTAGAAGCGCTATATTGCTAGCCCAGCGCATTATATTTTAGGTGTATTATTAATACATCCAAAGTAAGGCCATGAAAACGTCATAATTGGGACTTCTTGTTTTTAATTGAAGTTAGGCAAGGCGGGGAGGATATCTTAGTTTAGAGGCTAGAGCGTCTGGTTACATTACCGGGAATGTTCGAATCCTGGTAGTGGCAAAACATTTTTCAACTACAACGTAGACATTTTAAATTTCATCTTATTCGAACAGAGACTAATACAAACATAATATAAAATATCAATTGATTTAGTAAAAAAAGGGAAAAAGTCCCAAGTAAAAAAAGTAACAGCCTATACAGAGGTATCAGGGCATAGTCCACCACGCGGCCCCACTGCAGATTGGCGGACTTAAAGTTCCGTATTTAATTACATAATTATAAAATAAAACTACTTTACGGATTTTATCACGTTTTTTATTTTTATTTAAATTCCCAACGTTTCGAACCCTTTCCAGTGTTCATGGTCACGGGACAGACTGAAGAAGAGACGCAAGAAAACAATATACTTAATTATCGATAGATCGGATGCATGATTCGAATACACAATACAGGGAGATTTTTTGAGAAGTGCCCTTTATACAGGAGGTTCAGACTCGGTAGTATAATCGTTTATTGAAATAAAAAACAAAGTTTTTTTCCCAAAAAAAATGCTATTCCTCAGTCATTGTGTCACGAACTTGTGTGCGTTTTAGTTATGAATGATCGCGCGTAAAATAAATGAGTTGCGTATAAATCACGCACTTTTTGATATAAGTTCAAATGAATGTAATTAATTACTTACGAGTGATTTTAAATATTTATTATTTTTTATATAACATTATTTATGTCTAGAATTTAATAAAAAAAATGGATTCACTTAAAAAAGCCACCCTGTATATAATACTAATACAAATGAAACGTTAGGGTTTCAAAGTTGTATTAACTGCGAATATGAACCTCACAGGCAAACACGCTATGCCTGGTGTGTGGGTTAGTATGCGATTTTTTTATGTGAGAAGGTGGCACTGGCAAGCGACCTGGCGGTTCACCTTCGGCCCATGGACATTCGAAACACCAAAATTTTGTCAAAATCAAAATCAAAAATATATTTATTCACATAGACACTTGCGCGTTCTTATGAAATGTCAAAATTTTACATAAAAATTAATACGTTCGTAAGTTACCACGTTGTAGATGTGTTGTCACCTTTTAATAAAGTGTTAAACTCGCATCTCACTCACCAGACATAACGCAGACGTCGCGGTCTTCAGTGAGGTCGTGGTACTTCCTCGGACGGACCTGCCCATTCATGCAACAGCTTAGGCTGCTATGTGGCCCCACCACCGTAGTGTGTGTCAAGGTTGGCGCGGAGGCGCGGAGTCAGTCACTGACATGTTCGGGGGTATATTCGCGTGTGGTGGCGGTCTTTTCAGGCCGGGGAGAATATAATTATTTAACGAGCGAGTTAATACCAAATTTTTATTTTTTATACAGCAAATTACAATATATTAAACAGTGTAATAATAAAGAAAAAATTATTACCTACAATACTTATAAGTAGGCAGGTTCAGGAATCAGCTCAGTAGAAAGAAAATCGCCAAGATTATAAGCAGTCTGTCGGTATATAAAGTGCTCTAATGTAAGTGAAATGTATGTGATAATCAGTTTCTATTAAAACAATATTCGTAAGTAATTAAAATTTAATTGAAAAACAGTTACACGTATTAAAAATATTTCTTACAAAAATTTTTGAATTCTTAGAGTAAATGTTTATACGGTTATTACAATGTGGATATTAATAGATTTTCACAAATTTCACTTTCAAAAATCATAATTTAATTTTATACATTTACATATTACAATAGATAGCATCTTTAAACTAAACTATTATTGTATAACATTACTTCAATATAAAATTGTCATGAAATGTTAGGTAGATGTACCTATGAATTTTATTCTTTTTTTTTTCTGTATAGAAACATGAATATTAATCTAATTCTTTAGCCTACTTTCTTTCCATGTTCACCAAAATTAAAAAATATTTTAAAAGGTGGGATTGATTTAAGGTATTATTGAAATTAGGTACTGTGCATAAATAACGTGGTAAAGTAAACGAAATTCGGAATAGAAACGTAATAGTAACTTACTACTAAATTTCACTACTACGTATAAAATTTTAAGTAAAACGAGAAATTAAACTTTGGCTGACAAGCCGCAAATTAGTCTTAATCTATCTAAATATATATCATAACAGAATTTTGTAATAGATGTAGAAACATTTAATTGATTTCAGTTTCACCGGCCCATTGGCGGTTCTGATTCTGTTGTGGTTGCTCTTGATAGGGCTGACCATAAAAGCTTGGCTGTTCATTTTCTACGACCTTGACTGCCTCCGTTGGTTCCGGACTGTCGTCTGTGGTATCTTTCTTATAAGGAATGCTCTCGTCGTCTGAGTTCAATTTGAACGACTCATCAGGATCGATGGATCTGGTTCTGTGAAGGTTTGATTTAAATATTGTCTGTAGGTTGTAAACTTATCTCAATTACATTACTTTTATGTAATTGAGATAAGTTTAAAATTGAGATAATTTTATAAAAAAATACATATATGTTATTTAGTTCGAAATGTACCGCAAATATTTACTGCAAATTTTACAACACTTGTTGCTATAAACACAAATATAGATTTTGCAAACTCATAGGTACACGTATTAATTCTTATACATGAATTTAATATTGTAAGCCCATATATTGCTGGCTCTTGCTTTTTAACAGACTTCAAAAAAGGAGGAGGTTTCTCAATTCGACCGTATACTACACATGTTTTTCTATGCGTGTTCGCGGATAGCTTCGTCGTTTATGAACCGATTTTGATGATTATTTTTTGTTGGAAAGGAGATATCCCAAGGGTGATACCATGATAAGGAAACCCGGATCTGATGATAGCTTCCCAGAGTAATCTTGGGGTAAATGAGGGTAACCTTCGAATATCGTAGTGGCGACTAGAGCGTTTGTATTTTTATCATTACGTATGATACACATAAGTATTGCTATAGGCACGAGTAATACAAAATTTAACAATTTTTGCAGTCGGTGTTTTTTTTCACCATGAGTAATGGTTATACACCATAAAACCTTGCTAAAAACGAAGCTAAGCAACAATGAATACTGCGGTTATCTAATAAATAGGTTAAAAGGTAGTCATATGTAAAGTAAAAGTAAAAGTAAAGTAATAGTAAAGTAAAAAAAGTAAAGTAACAGCCTATACATGTCCCACTGCTGGGCAAAGGCCACCTCTATACAGGGGATCGAACTCAGGTTGCTCGAGTATATTGAATTAAAGGCGAGCGTCTGGACACTGAGCTATCACGGCTAAAGTAAAGTAAATATGTATTTAATTACCGATATATGTATACCCGACATATGTATTACCGACCCGACATATGTATTTAATTACCGATGTGTCTAATCGACATAAATTGTTTAACTAAGTTATAAGAATGATTTTATGCTTAGATCAGAGATACTTCGCTTTGCACCGACACAAAAAGAAAGTTAATTTTTTTAGAAGTTAGGTAGGTTAGGTTATATTATAGGTTAGATTTTTAAACTTTTTAGTGCTAATTTTGAATACGGTCCTATCTGTTTTAAAAAACTTTTTATTGGGTAAATGTAAAACTCTTAAGTGATTGTAACCCTGCATTAAATAAAAGGCAATGGAAGTTCTATTTAGTACCTATGTTGGAAAAATGAAATGGTTGATGACGGTCTCCATAAAAATGAAATTATGGCTAAACAAGTACCAGCGCGTACCCATGTGAGACTTACTTTACGTTTAAGTAGTCATTTTCTTCTTTCTCTTCCTCTTTTCGCCTCTTGAGGATTCTCCAACCCACGCAGATAAGCAAAATGACGATCGGTAACATTACAGCGCTGATGATGCCCCAAGTTGCACCCAGTGTTCTCGAAGAGTACTCTTGTTTGCCTGTATTGTAAAGATAATATTAAAACTATGACCTGTTTACCTAAAATACACATTAATTTCTAATTATTTATTTATTTAGGCCTCGTTGCACGCCCAACGATATATTTGGGCTTCAGTAAGTTGTTATGTAGACCACTAATTGTAGTGATTGTCCACTAATGCTGTCTTTGAAAGTTCGTATATGCAATGCTTAAAATTGTTCTTATATGCAACTTTTAGTGTTAAGGCCCATTTACACGATGCCATTTTCTTGTACATACAAGAGCAATAATTGAATGCAATAAATTGCGCGCAATAATTGACCATCAAGAATTGTAAGCAACAGTTTACACGCAGATATAGTAAAAAAAATTGAATGCGATTATTGTATGCAAGTCTTGACAAGAAATAATTGCAAATGTCTTTTGTTTACACCAATGCAATTATGTTTAGGCGATTATTGCTTTCAAGTTTTGACTTGTCTAAACACATGCTTGTATGTGCGTGTACAATTTATTGGCCTGAATTATTCATAAGGCTATCATTTACCTCCGTGAATATATTTTCATGTATCGTACAAAAATAAAGGCTTGGATGTCAAATATACGACAAGCCAGTTATATATTGATGATTTTAACTTCAAGTATTGCACGTATTTGCGTTGACAAATATTTCATTCAAGTGTTGAGCGTTTTGAAAAGGGTTGTTTATTTAAAAAAAAAAAAAATGGGTCAATAATAAGTGTTCAAGTTAGATTATGCCGATTTAATATATTTCTATTGAGATTTATTTATTATTATCCATATATTATTATTTATTTTTTTGTCCAACTTTTTTTACGACCTTTTCTCAATATTTCTATCCTCAAAAGAACAGCAACGATTAAATACCCTCACTCATCGCATTCATGTTTGCAAATGAAGAGAGAAAATTGAATGCAAGAATTGCTTAAGAAATTATTGTATGTGCTGTTTACACCAAGGAAAGTTTTGAAACAAAACTTGAAGCAAGTCTTGTTCAACAGGCAAGAATGTTATGTGCTGTTTAGACCATGCAACTCATTTATTGCTTCAATTTAATTGTATACAACAGGCAAGAAACTTGCACCGTGTAAATGGGCCTTTAGTAGTGTAATGAAATAATTACATTTTATTTTATGGGAATTGGTGGAAATTCAGCTGGCGGGTCACTTGATGATAAGTGATTAGGTACTGCCCTAGTTACTTCACTGTCCAGCCCTAGTTACTTCACTGTCCAGACAAAACACAAAAGTAGAATACTTCTACTTCATAAGCAAATATGAACAGATTCATGCCTCTGTTTATACGTGCATTTTATAAAAGCCACTACGAGGTGTTATGATATCCAGATTGTGTAAATTTGCGTACCGGTAATACTGAGTTGTTATTTTGGATCTAAGTAGTTTTTCACTGCACGCTTTATAAACACCACAAGAAATCATGATTGATATAACCAAGATTGTTATCAGACCGTGTACGTTTATCTTCAAAACATAAAGTAGTACTCACCTAGTTATAAGATTTTGTGGCCCTAATTTTTTGTATGAACAGGGCGATAAGAAAGCAAGCTATAACCTCGGCTTAGACAAGGATAAATGAAACACATCACGATAGAGAAAATTTCTATTCCGCCGAAACGAGTCAAGTTATTCCTTGCTTTCTTACGCTTTGAAAACCGCGAGTTGCAATAAACATCGTTAAGAAGTTACTCTACCATTCTTCGGAACAGAAATTTCCTCTCGCTTTTATCGTTATAAATGTGTATAGATTTATTGATTTAAAATTAATCGTAAAAACTAATAACATATTTCGGTAACAAAAACAACACTGGGAAATGCCACAAACACGTCTCTATACTATTATATATTAAGTGCGCAAATACTGATGAATATCAGCGAATTTAACTTAAAGTCGAGTAATCTAAGAATAGAGATAAAGTTAACCTTGTCAAGATGTAGGCAGTGCTTATAATGTAATTTATGTCTTCAGTGGGATATTACAAATTATGGTATGTCATTTACAGCTAGTAAAAAGGCAGGAAAATTCTAAACGTTTACTTTAATATAGCGAATTATAAAGAAACGACAAATATAAAAAATACTGTCAATTAATTTATTGTGATTGAATGCTTCACAGCGTTTATTTTACGCGATGAGAATCTGAACGGGCTAGAACCTAAACAAAGATATTCAAAGTTCAGTTTTACTCGGCTGTAGTTTAATATGTTACAAAAATCTGTTCAGTGTTTCAATATTGCTTAGCTAGCTGAGCATGTACGGACTACACCATGGTCGACCGGCTGCTGAAAGTGGGGGCCTCGGCGCCTGGGGGATCAATGAGCGTCTCCACGGACTTCCCTCTCTGTGGGGGCATCGTGAACGTTTTGATTTCGGTGGGCGGTGCGCTTTTAGGGGCGTCCGGCAAGCCGGGGTTGTTGTAAGTGTTCCGAGGGCTTATGTCCGAGGTGGGACTGATGGGGGGCGAGTATATTTCCGAGTAAGTCGGCGAGTAGTGGGACGAGGTGGGGCTGTATTGGCCCCCGTACTTGGGCGCGTAGGGGTCCTCCGAGCCGTCCTTGGTCGAGTAGCCCGAGTCGCTCGGGAGCGCGTGGCGGCCCGTTTGGCGGGGCTTGCTCACGTACTCGATGTCTTTGGCGGGGCGGGTGAGAGTCGACTCGCGATTCGACTCGGAGTCGGACGGTGAGGTTATTGAGAGCAGGTCCTCCTCGGAGAGGTCCCACGGCTTCTCGGGGAACTCGACCTCGGGCGCATTGGGCAAGGGCTCGTTAGTGCGATAGGTCTTGTCGTAAGCGCGCCGCTTTTTCGGCAAGGAGGACTTGTCGGACTTTCCGGAGTCGCTCTTGTTCGAGTCAGTATAACCTAGGCCTGAGCTTTCTCCGTCCATAGGGGGAGGCGGGGCGGATCGGGAAACGTTTGCCTTGGCGGGGGTCTCGTCTGTAGGCGTGTCGGGCAATTTGGGCTTCTCGTCAGAGCCCTGGCTACGTAACGTCGACGATTTCATCGTGTCTGTGATATTTCCCATTGACGGTGATCTTAGATTAAGCCGAGAGGCGGATTTCGATCGTGGAATGTTCTCGAAGCGGAATGCCTCCTTGCCCTCGGACTTCGGTTTGTAGCAACACCAGAACCAGAGGAGGCAAATAAGGAGGCCTAATGGTAGAATAACCGCTACGATGATGCCCCAAGTCAAGAACAGAGCGCGTTGTGAGTACTCTTGGTTACCTGGGTGCGAAATATTTAATGTTATGTAAGCGTTATTAACCAATCACTTTCAGTATCGAAAATATTGACTGTGTTAGCAAATGAGGATTACACATTTCTTGTTAAGACACATTTTTTACCTGATAAACTACTTAGTTTTAACAAAAATTATAAGCATAATTTTAGTTTAAAATAAATAAATGTACTCCGTAATTATTCACACAAAACCAAAAGATAAGAAGCTCATAAGATTCTACCGCAACAAAAGACGTTCAGCCTTTTTGTTGAACCAAACACGTGTAATGTTGATATCTGAAAAACATTTTTGTAGTTTCTATTTCATTTGGTAAGTTTGAAACGGGCTGTTGTAAAGAACTATAAAAGTTTCAACGATCTCGTAAAGCAAGCACTAAGACTGCATCGGCGAGGCTGCCGACGTGAACGGGCGTTATGAGACCCATCATCATCATCATTTCATCCTTTTTAGTCCTGTCTGGTCATATGCCACCCCATAAAACACACGATCCTGACCTGTGCTGTGCTGCAAGTCGATGGCTGCAAGAAGCCATCGACTTGCAGCACATTTGCACAGATCCTCACTACATGAGACTATGAGCTATTTAGGTATAATTGATGGCTTACGAAGGCACTCTGTGTAGCCGTAGTCGGGCAGATTCCACCGGCCGCTGTCCTCGCAAACACGTCGATTGTCACCGATCAGGATGAAGTCTTGGTTGCATTCAAAGTTCACCTGCGGAAGACTTAAGTAGTAAAGTAAAGTAACAGACTATATATCTCCCCCTGCTGGGCAAAGGCCTCCTCTGCACAGAGTGTATTAGGGCAAAGATTACCACGTGGCCCCACTGCGGATTGGTGGACTTCATACATCTTCAAAATTATTTTGATTTAAGTTGAAACACATGTAAAACAATTCGTTAATATATACGCAAATATAACACACTTTAATAAGACGAGTTTACGGATTTTTTTCGGTTTGCTTTTACCTGAACATTTAAACTACCTGCGTTTTGAATACTGATGTTTCAACATTTCAGTCCGTCTCGTGACCATTAATGCTGTAAAGTATCTACATATTAAATGATCACCTACCCATAAAGTGGTTATTATAAAAATAATTATGGATATCGCAAGAGTATTGATTTCGTATACTAGCATAGTTTAGCTTTTCTAAGCTCAGGGTCTTTGCTAATGGAGGAGGATTCAAAACTGGCTCTACGAAAGTAAATGGATTTAAATTTTTATTGAGTACCGAAAGTGGTTGGTTTTCCATCTGGATTCACTACTTACCCTAGTTCCCGGCGTGAAGAAGAAATTGCTCTTCCTTCCAAAACGCGGGGTTTCCAATATCCCGCAACTTATGACGCGCCGTGCGTTTTGCTCCTTGATATTTGTCTTTAAAAAGGAATAAGTGTTAATTCTGTCAAGTTTTTACTCATAAGGTATTCTATACTATTTTAATTGCACTCTTTTATATTTTTCGCTTTGTATACGAGTCGCAATCGTGTGTAACGCATAAAAATATCTATCTTCGCGACAATCGAAATGCAACTGTGTGTTTTTCCTATCTTCATGGCGTCGAAGACCTTGGCTGATGCATCACAATTACACGAACAATGGACAAACGGCAGGTCGGATTAAAACGGACGTAGCAAGTATCAAAAACTGCATTCTTATATTAAAGACCTTATAATATTGGAGCTATTTACAGTGTAGATTTATTAACTAATTTCCAACGCGTCAGATGTCAGCAACTGCGTAATATTATGCGCATGTGGGTAGATCCATTGCAAAAATTTAAATAAATTGTCATTGCTACAACATAGTTACATGTTCAGTGGAGGCTGTTATAAGACATACTATAATGAGTCATTCTGTTGTATTAATAATGGAAAGGGCGTGGGAAGGTTCAAGCGTTTTTGCTTCGGTGTGTGATTAAGTGTTATTACAAAATGTGTTTTTAAACCTTTTTGATTCCTGATTAATTGTCAACCTAAATTACAGTCATATTTATACAGCGTGTCGTTACCATCGCGACAATAAATGAACACACGTCTAACGCTACTTGCCAATAATCATAAAAAAATATTAACGTTAAACAAAATCCATAATTAAAAAAAAATATTTTTCGAACAAACTAAGTAAAAAAGAAACAAAATTTGTAACATCCTATACAACTCGCGCCACAGCGTCGTATTACAAGCCTCTCCTTCTAATAGTATGTTTTGTCTCTTTTAAATTCATTCAACCCATTCATATGCTTTGTGACCTTTACAAATGAACTTTACGTTACGCTTTTATAGGTAAGGGTGTTCTAAAATTCTTTGTTTTGGAAAATTTAATAACTCTGTAAATATAGATGTTTAAAGAATTTAAATGTTTAATACAACTTTAAAAAGTTATCCCCTATATGTGGGTTCATTTATTGTCGCTATGGTAACGACACGCTGTATATACATCATCAGGGTACTACTAAGACGGTAAATTGGGCTGATACAAATTTAAATACATATACCATCATTCTAATTATCACAAATATGATGAAACTTATAATTGTTACCCGTGTACTGAGACGGACAATACGCGTTTCACTATTACCCCAACATGTCTACCATTTCGTAAACCTATTGTCCCCTACTGATTCTCATCGTTTATGAGTGCTACAATTTCCTTTTTCTAAAGCAGTGTCAATTTAATGTACCTACTTTTGTCTAACCCGTGTCTGACGCTCACTTATGCTCTAAGACACCAATCCAAGGACGTCAATTTCATTTAAATATTATCATTTCACCCATTAAATTTTGCCGATAGCAGAAAAGCTTAGAATATATTATGAAGTAAAACACTACCGTTCTTATACTTTGTCGTCTGGCTGAATTAATGTGTAAACCAAGGGGAAACAAAAAAACTTTATCGACTTAAATCTGCTCGGTAGGCACTTTATGTATTTTGGACGGGGCACTGGAATTCTCGTATAAAACCACCGCTTCCCCTCTGCTGCAGTAGCTATCCCTGTCAGTGCTTAGAGAAAAAAACGAGACAACGTGAATAGATGGTCAATAGGTTACTCACGAGCGAGGATAGATAATTCTTCGTGAACTCGGCCATGTCCCTGTTAAGGGTCATGCCGTAGTCGTATCGGCATTGGTAGGAGTCTTGGCATATTTCGATAGCCCTGGCGACATCATGGGACCTGTTGGCCGGTAGAAAATCGGCGGGCTCGCGTATGAAGTTCGGTACGAACTGATTATCGTTGTAGTAAGCGGCGGTTCTGCCGTACTCCCTAACGAACATCGCCACGCCAATGTCCCTCTGTTCGCGATCAGTCAGTTGCCCTGAAAGTATTTGGAACGTGACAAGCTGACTTATGCTAGTAAGGTTATCATAAGCGTGCTTGTTTCTTTGTCCCTGTGTCAAAGGTAACGGAGCAAGAAATAATTAATTATTTTTGAACGAAACCGGCTAAAGCTAGATTCTAAGAACGGTTCCTAAACAACCAAATTTATTCACAGAATCAAATATACCTGAAGGCAATTCATACGAAATAAACGCTATGTAGGAGATGGAACTGGAGAGAGTTTACGATCTCTCCTTATCAATTTAATACATTGTCTCTTTATTATATAAAGTTTATGTATATGAAAAATCTAAGCCTTTTGATTTGTAGTTAGGGATGATAGTAATAGTGATATCAGTGCATACCAATAATAATCACGTATAAATGTGGTAGTTTTTGATGCTCATTACAATGTGGAAGATAACTAGGAAGAAATTTTGTCTTAAATTAAGCGCTTCATGTCCTTCAATTGTTCGTCAAGTGTTGAAACCTTATAAAAGTGAATACTACACCTATAGGCAGGTATACAGCAGGGGGGCCGGGCCATGCCCAGCCCAGTATCGTCTAGTGCCCACCCCAGGATTTTGGGGTACTGATTAGAAATTCTAGGCTGGATGCCTAAGAAACTTCATAAATAATCATTGAAATCAAATAATTATCAACAGCCGAGAAACTCTATGTACATACTTAATTTTTATTCTATTTTACAATACATTCCTTTTATTTACTTGTGAATACACAACGTACTAACTACTAATTAGTTAATTCTACTATTATAAATTAATATAAATTATTAACGATAGAGAACTGTTATTTCTTTAATAAGACGCATATTGTTCGATTTTTTTGTAAAGGCCCCGGCCCATCCTGAAAAATAGACCTAGATACGCCAATGACTAAACCCTAAATGATCTGGATGTGAAAAATGGTAACACCACTATACTCTTCTATACGAAACAGTATTGCAATAATGGCATTGCGATATACCAATGTTTTCAGGTATTGTCATCATTTGAAAACTGATTTACATTATGAAAGGTGGGGTAAGGTAAAGTCGTACTTACAATGTTGAGCGAAGTCCCTGTGAGCTGACTGGAAGTTATTGATGTCAACCGTGACCAGGGTGCCATCAGGGCGCATGAAGTCATCGTTGAGGTCCAAAGACCAGTTGCCAAACAAGCCTCGAGTTTGGTTCTGTGACATTAACTCAGTTTTAGTGATTTTAAATAAAGTTGTTAGCTCGCGATTGATGAATTATCACTCCTTATTTCGATTTTCCTTCAATTTCAGTTTGCACTTCCAAAAAGTTTTTGTATTTACGTAACTATCTTATTTTCTATATTTGTGAGTTTAAGTAGAAGTTAAAAAGAAGATATTAATGCTTCACGGAAACAAAAGCAGATATCTTATGATAATGTGGATAAATAGCTGTTTCATTATTCCATACAAATGTTTTTTTGCAAAAACGGTTGCAAATGCCGCCCATGGACACTACAATAGAGGTATTCCAGAAGCGTTGCCTACCATCCATCCAAAGATTTGGGCTGCCTTCTTGAAAGTCTCTAAACCATATTGGCGCAACACCGTTGGCTAAAACTGATTCCAGATAAATATTTACTGACCAAATAACTGCATAGGTATATGTATTGATAGCTTACCATATAATTCCAGGGTAGATAAACTCTTGTCGTCATAAAGCCTTTGTTCTCCACAACCTCAATTCCGGCACCGGATGAGAACATAATGACGATTTCAGACTGATTCAGGATGTACATTGGCTGGTATACGGTTACACCTGACAAAAACGTTAACTAGCACTTATTTTATACCAGATTTATAAGGTTTTTATGTGTATATTAAAACACTAAGGCATTCTTTGTCTTCCAAACTGGAACTTTTTATCAAACTCATTCCCTTCGGAAGCGAATATTTGTATTGACGGTTTAACCTCTGCTCTGCATTCCACACGCGAGAGAAAGCCTTTCTCAACCGACTTCAAAAAAGGAGGAGCTTCTCAATTTGACTGAGCTTTTTTATAATTGTTATCTCAGAACTTTCGAGTGAGCGAACCGATTTTGATGATTTATTTTTTTATTTGAAAGCTGGTACTTCCCATGTGGTCCCATATTAAGTTCATTGGTATTGGATCTTGGGCTTCGGAGATACGTAGGGAGCTCGTGAAAATCGGTTAAATGAATACCGAGCGAGATATTTGAAGTCGGTTTTGTTTTTCGTTAATAAAAAAAAATCACTTGTTATAATTAACAATAATGATGTTAACTTTGATATATAGGAAGTGTCACTCACCAGGGAAATACTGTACTCTAAGAGACGGTCGATCGAAGTAGACCCTTTTGTTGTCGGCGAATACGTCAAGTCTATATCTCCATTGGGCATGCTGAGGTCGAAGGCGAACCTGTATGAAAATGATAGCTCTGGTAGAAACATTTCTTTCTACTAAATGCTTTGAAGATATGTTTTTTTCATGTGAGGTTAGCGAGCAGGCAGTCCTATTGATGTTAAGTGATAACCACAGTCCGTGGACATTTTCAACATCCGTAGGGTTGCTGCTACCTCACTCACCAGACGTAACGCAGAAGTATGGAACATCCACTTCACGCCGGTCTTTTGTGAGGTCATTGTTCTTACCCGGAGGGGCCTGCCCATTCGAGCAACAACAGAAGCTGTTGCGTGGCCCTACCTACAAGTGTCTAATTGTAAATTACAAAATGTAAATTAAAATAGGACTGTCTCTAAGGAACAATATATATGAATACTGGGAACGAGTCGATTTATTAAATTGGTACATTATAATTTTCATAACGATACTATAGAAATCTTTAATCTAAAATCCTTAATAATAATTAGTAGATAAGTATAATTGTGAATTACCTCGATTGGTACAGAGTTGTTCGAAGCTGCCACTACAGCAGTCAGGTGCGTGGCGTTCACCGGACCGTATATATTCCTAGACACTTGTTCGAAACGTCCTTGGACGTCTAGCTTCAGCTGTGGATGGTCCACTCGCACCAGCACGTACTCACCTTTAAAGAAAATACATCTCATTTACAGTAGCCATAGCCATGCAATCTATCAGTGTCCAATCGATTCTAAGTGATGTGGTCTATCAACCAAATATGGAGACGTACAAAAAGGGTCGTGGTTTAAACATGGTAATCATCTAAGCTCTATGTCATGTTATGTGTGAAGCATTACATGAGCATAATATGGTAGAAATTAAAGGGTAATGATTGGAGAAACGTCGTACCTTTGCCATTAAAGGTGTATTGTAGGTCATCGAATGTTATAATGTGAGGATCGCCAAATATTCCCGCAACTCCTGGCGACTGATAAGCAACGCAATCCTGTGAAGGTCGACGCTCGAACCTGTAAACATGAGATACGTTACTAAGGTTATCGTATATTTTTACTTATACATATCACTATCCCCCTACCCTTATCCCACACTCGAGTGGGATGGGCACAAAATGTGAATCGTGTTGTAAGTGGTTTTAGCTAGGCTTTTACAACCAGCCGCCTACTCAAAGTCAACTCTCCCTGGGAATGAACACCCTGGTCCGCAACAATTACTCGTATGTATGGGTCACACATATATTTGTTCCATCACTAACCTGAAGGTCTCGCAACCAACAGCTTGCTCTTCTTGCCACACACAGCATTGATAGAAGGGAATCATATCGTGGAACCAATGGGACAATGATGGCACCTGTCGAAAAAGTAAAATAGCAATTTTAATTGATCTGGTACACGTATCTGGTACACGTATAAGTGTATAATGACTAGGCTAGAAAAAGAAGAATTTCATTAAGATTATGATACTGACATAAATGGTGCTATCTAAAGACTCACCTTGTTGGCTTCGTTATAGGGCGTAAATCCAAAGTCGTGGGATCTTTGAGGTCGCGAGCCCCACATTTGGTCGTAAGACAACATAAGGAAGCCGTTTTTGTCATAGCAGCACTGTTGTCCTGATCCCTCCGCGCTGAAAAATAGCTCAGTAAAATATAATTGCTAATAAATAATTCGACATCAAATTTTCTAAAGTCAAATATCACGTCGGCAGATCGTTGACTCCGAGGTGTAGTTGCCAAGGTATTGGTTTCGGCGTTAGGGGTCGTGGGTTTGATTCACACACGGGACAACTATTTGTGTGTCCCGCAGATAGTTGTTTCGCATCTGGGTGTTTCTCCACGTGTTATTTGTGTTTGTAAAACGTCCTTAGAATCTAGGATAATGTTATCCTAAAGTAAGGGCAATGTTTTTACAAAAAGAAAGAAAGACAGGACAGTAATTCTCTCTTACTCTCTATAATGTCTTACCTCGGGGCACCACTTCTAACACAGTGAATACCACCCCAGTGGTATCTACACGTGGGATTGGTGTCCTTGTCGCAGTCCAAGTCGGGCATGAACCGCCCCTTGTCGAGCAGCGCGTGTTCAAGAGTGCAGGGGCAGATCCAGACTTGGGAGGCGAAGTTCTTGAGGAAACGATCCGTCCTCAGCCAGTTATTGCACATAGACATTGGCCAGCGTTGGCCGTGGAGCCTCTCCCATTGCTTGTCGAAGTACCAGCCTAGAGGTATCGGCCGGCTCCATAGGATCCTATTGAAATTACGATGGATGATTTATCAACAGACGTGAGACTGAGATAAAACCTATATTTAGAACAACTTAATTCTTTCTTCTGCTTTAATAACCATCTCGTGTCATTAGTGTTATAAAAATATGATTATGTTAAAGTAGCTATAGATTACTAATTATATTAATAATCCATATTTGGGTTTATAGATGCCAAAGTTTGCATAATTAATTTTATTTGAAACATAACCTCGTTTTTGTATTAGGGTGTACTGTTTAGAAATCTAATAATTACCAGTGAACCCGACAGGCATCTAAATTCGGAGAACAACTTTAAAATAAAAATAACTTAATTTTTTTTTGTAGTGGACCGAATTGTGAATCTAAACCATTATCGAACCCACAACACACAAAAATTTCATCAAAATCGGTCCTGTCGATTAAGAGAAGTTCAGTTCACATACACAAAGAAGAAGAATTATATGTATAAAGATTGTGAGTATAAAGTTAGAATATACTAACTTATTAAACGTATGACATAAAAGAAAACATAAAAAATATTAATCGGTACAAAGTGAATCACATGTACTCACGGTGATATGGAGACGCCTTTGAATACCTCGGGCGTGGTCAGATTTATCTGTATGAAACCGAACTGCATGTCGTTGTGCATTATGTTGTCCCTGTTCCGGAAGTTCTCGGGGTTGATGATGTACTCGCCGGTGTTGGCGACGCCGCTCTCGATGACGTCGATGTACTCCAGCTGGGGCCTGATCGTGATCTCCTTGTAGCCCCACAGGCTGATCTGCAGCTGGACGTTCAGGTTGGAGGTCAGGTTGAAGCGGTCCCACGTGATCCTTATCTCGCGCGGGCTGCGTTCGTGTATCGCGTTGTCCGGGAAGAATATCTTCTCGGTCGCAGTCGCCGGTGTTTCTGTCAGACGAGTTACAAGCTTTAGTGCAGTAAACTTTAAATTTATTGAAATAATTGGATACTCCAAAATATAACTAAGTAAATAAATTCTTCTCAATTCGTTGTAATTACTTATGTGTACTGCTTCATATACGAATGAAAATCATAAAAAAAACAATAGTATTGCGAAGGAATAAGGAAAATACATTGTCTTCAAGTCAAATGTGATAAAAGATATAAATTCTCATGAGGGGTCAATTTTTCTCGCGTTAAAAACGCTCGCTTGAAGTTCGGAATGTAAAGTAAAACACTCTCCTGTTATTTTTTATTTTGGGTTGGATGAGCCACTGTTGGCCTTAGGGGCCTTCACAGTTCCGACGGACTTGAGGTGGACTGGCGCACGAGGCCCCTAGCCTGAACCTCGGCGTATTATTATTACGCGTTATGGTGACGTTGTGAACGAATTTAAAGTAAATCCATCGGCAAGTTTCAGGTTTGTGGACACAATCATACAGAGGCAAAATTTTATGTCGTCTATATAGTATAAAATAAATTCGCCCCCACAGTTTGTATGCTGTGATCTTTTTAAGTACGCATCGGATTTTAATACAGTTTTCAGCAATACATAGAGTGATTCAAGAGAAACGTTTATATGTGGTGAACCTGCAAAATAACATAGTCAAGCCAAGAAATCCAGAGATTTGTAAAGTGATGTCCGTAACAAACAAATTTTTATGCGCTTACATTGCAAACGCTGGTTAAGCCTTACAAGACAGATCAAATGAATTAATGAATAAATAATTTTTATTGCACACACAATGATAAAAAAGTACATTAAAATGACAATTACCGCCGGCGCGGAGATTGTCATTCTGTGTTTTGAACATCGGCGCAACATACCGACGAAGAATCTCCCCTTCCACTTGTAGGGCTCGTTGTTTATCGCGATCTCGAATCTCGCGTAGCCGTTGTGCCAGAAGCGGGGCTGCACGCAGATGGCCCGGTTCACGTCCACCACGGCGCCGACCACCGCCTCCGTGTCGAAGCGGCACGTGATGCGGTCGTTGGGGTTGAAGCAGGGGCCGGTGATGTTCACTATCGTGCCGCCGAGCATGTTGCCGCTCTCCGGCGCGAACATCAGCGGCAGGTTGGCGCCGTCTGTACGGTTAACGGTGTTATCTCACCTTTGGGTTCCTATCTTGTGCATATAGTATATATAGATATTCCTATTTAGTTCATATAGAGTTGGAGTGGAGGAGCCATGAGCAAAGCTGCAGGCCCCTCATCACATCGAAACGATAAGCCACCACCCAGTTTCAACTATTTCGAAACGAGTTAATTTACTTTTATTTCGTTAGGGCCACGCAGCAGCTTTGCGGTTGCACGAATGGGCAGACTCGTCCGGGGAAGTACCACGGCCTCACAGAAGTGCGTGAATTGGAAGTATTACCCTATCGAGTTTCATCTGGTGGGTCGCACAAATAGTTGTCCCGTGTGGGAATCGTACCCACGACCCCCGACGCCGAAGCCATCCTCCGTGGCGTAGTTGCCAATACCTTGGCAACTACGCCACGGAGTCATCACATTGTTTTAAATTTCATAATTTCTTGACCATAGACATGGTCTATAGCACAACCACGACGAAGACGTAATAAAACCTTTAATTACACAGATAGGTCGATTTTTTCTTCAGAAGTACACTTCCAGAAGTCTACAGAACATCTAGTTTCGATATGCTCAATGTAAAATCGATGTTCCATAACTATATTTCCCCTATTAAAGTACTCAGTGGATGACATTGAATTTATATTGAATGTTTATAGATCACTTACCGATATCTTTATTACACGTTCCCATCAATATTTTTTCGTCGATCCTAAAGATATGCCTTCCAGGAAAACCGTTCGCCCAACCACGTCCGGTAAGATCTCTAAGTACGGACGCCTGAGAGTATGGCTTATACTCGTAGCTCCGTGTTGCGTTTCCGGCATTAAAACCAATCTAAAAATAACGAAAAATTAATAACACTACAATATCTAACAAAATAAATTTTAATCATCACTGTATTCTATATTGAGAGGAAGGGGTTAGCTAGTAAGTCTCAACGACGATCACTGCGACCTAGAAAGACCTAATGTAGTCTTCCCTTCTAAAACTTTGCCCCCTTGCTGTATGAAAACCTTATCATATGTTGTAAGGACGTTTCACATTGATAAATATCAGGTGACCCACATTCGAAATATGTGGGTCACATAAATATTTGTTTTGCGTCGGAATGGAACGCACGCCACCTAGCCAGTCATCAAGTCAGTGTTAGAGTTTAGGTACAATTCCTCTAAGCATCTTTCTGAGCTGCCTTCGAATAATAAACCTACGAAGTTCCTGAATTATGACAATGAAACAAAAAAATCCAAATGATGCATACATATGCTGGCACCCCGCCTTCGCCCGTGGTGGTGTCACCGCCAGCCTCAGTGTGCGAGCTCCAGTTTATCTCGAGGTAGTTGAAAATCGCGTACGTGAACACTTCATCGGTTGCAAGCACCATTTGAAACGTATTCGTCTGAAATGTTATGTTAAATAGTACGACAGATCTAATTGAATGTAAATAGTGGTTCAATTGATTTATTTACATAAATTATTATAACTAGAGACAAGCTGAAGTTTATTTTTTTTTTCAATTATGAGTTATTAACATTGTCACCATAATCATATTAAGCTAAAAAGATCTGCGCTACTGTCATAGAATAAATAAAAAAAAGAATGTGTGTACTTATGTACGCACTTAGGAAGTTATACCATTTTAGAATAACAAAAGAGAAATAGCTAAAGACGTGAAATGCAATTGATAACGTTTTAATTAAATAACTTTTTTAAAATTTTAAAATGATGTTAATAGAACCTGTAGTCAAGAAATTGCTTTTGAAAGTGTACGTACCACAAACAAGGAGTTGTCTATGCCGCCGGCGAAGGACATATTCTTCCATGTTATCGTGATGGCGTGTTTAGGGAAAAAGGTTTCTGAACCTATGACACCTTGACGGATGTCCCACGTAAGCCTTTCCCTCATTTCCACTCCCAGTTGATCCGTACGTGTCTGTGTAAACATTATAACAACTTTGTACAATAAAATAATATACTTTTACATGAGCTAACGGTACACCTGATGTTAAGTGATAACCGCCGTCGCTCTGTGACCTGGTAATCGCTATTAATTCAATATTGTGATTATTTTCTCAATTTATTTGTCGATTGACTGATAGAGAAGACCTAATGGTGTTACGTGCGCATTTGTGAGCTGTTGTGCAAAAAGTTTTTAAGTAAAAAATAATAAACAAGGGAGTTCAAGTGTGCCGGCACCAATGAAATTGTAAATTGCAGATTTAAGTGCTGTTTATCACGTGCGCTTTAGTGAAACAAAAGAAAATATTTCGAAGATATGTGAAGACCACCAATGCGCAGTGGGGCCGCGTGTTGGATTGATACCCGGAGTGGCCTTTGCCCAGCAGTGGGATATGTGTAGGCTGTTACTTTATTTACTTTTGGTTGTCAAGATACTACTCCCGGCTCAGAAATTAATAGCAACTGCAGAATTGAAAAGAACCGGCGAAAGAAATCCAGTGGGATTTTTTTTGATTAGCATTACTTGATAATTAATTTGAAAAAGCCTGGAGCGATCAATTCATTTCCAAAGCTTGTCATTATTTAAATAATCACTAATATTATAATAACCATTAACACAAAAACGGTCATGTACAATTTATTGGAATTTAGCAACTGTCAAAGAGGCATTTGATTGGCAGAGGAACATATGCAGGCTTAGCTTTAATATGATTTAAATCTTTGGTTTGGTTAAATGATGTATTCAAAATATGAATTAAACATACCTGCAAGTCTCTGTCCATCCTGAAGTATACGCCCGGTCGTCTTTGGTCGGGGTCTTCGGGTCTCTGGCTGCCGATGCGGCATTTGCTGAAGAAGATGCCGATGAAGGAGGGGTCGTTGACCGTCGGCCAGTCCCGAACGGGGAACGACAGTGGATACGTGTAGTGGTCCGGTGGGTCGCTGAAGTAAATGTAACCGTTCATCGACAGCTGAAAATGTACCAAGCAAAAATAAAAGGTGAGTAACACAGAATTCGCAAACCTCAATCAAAAGATCTCATAGGTATATACTCGTATTGTGTCGAGGATATGTTATAGTTTTTGTTAATAATTTTTTTTTGTTATATTTTATTTTTGATTTTATTGTTCTTAACTTTTTATATTCCTTTTTTATTGTTTTTATTCTATTTCAATGTTATTTTTGTTGGCTGTATGCATGGAGCTGAACGCCAATCTTACAAGGTATCCGCAGAAAACCAGTGCCGTGGTATTGTCTGCCTGCCATTGGGCTATATACTGAGCGGAGACCTTTTTGGTGCATACATTTTTACAATTCTAATGTTATTTCTTTCTTTTTTTTCCTATAATGTAATGCGCCGAATAAATCTTTCTTTCTTTCTTAATTAAGCATTTCACGAACAAAGTATGATAGACCATTTTTAGTAGCAAAAAATGATCCGATTTCAAATATCTCACTGACTATACATTTTCTATTCGATTTTGAGGAGTCCTTGATTTATCCAAGGTTCAATACCAATGAAATTATTATGGCGCCACATGGGACCCGAACCGAAGCCAATGGAAAAATATTTTTTTAAATCTTAGATAAAAACAAAAAAAATGTTACGGAATTGAGAACCTTCTGTTTATCGATGTCGGGTAAAAATTCGATAGAATCTGTACACAGGTCTTAGATTGTAGTATTTATTCTAAGTAAAATAAATCATTAATACAATCTGATAATGGATGAAGTGACGATTAAATCGAATTCGAAAGAGACCCTAAGAAAACTCAATATATTTTTCAACAACCTCTCTTCAATCCCTTGGATCTCATATCATGTACATAGTGGAATAAATCTTCAATTTATTAGCATATTTCAATTTTTTAATAGTAATAGTATAAAATATTGTTGGTTGCTAATAATATTATTTTACAATCCAGCGAGAAAAGGAACGACAAAGTTGATAAATCTTATGTCGTGTACATAATGCAATATATCTTCGATTTATTAGTATGTTTCAATTATTTGATATAATAGCATAAAATATTATTGGTTATGGTTACTTATAATATTAGTTTACAATCCAGCGGGAGCAAGGAAAGGCAAAGTTTATCACTTTAAGTGCTAGCCCACTTACCCTGGTATAATTGAAACGAAACCCGAAGAACGGTAGCTGGAAGTTGAAGTTCTTGTGGATCTGGGGCGTCGAAGTGTGTATGTCGCGCTGGTAGTCGCCGATGTTCTCGTTGCCGCCTTGGTCGTAGAACCAGTAGAGGAAGTTCGAGCGGATCTGATTGAGCCTCTGTTGAGTGATCACGTAGGGCTGGCCGTTGTTCTGGTACGTGGTGGAGGGCAGCACGCGGCCATCGATGTGAGCTGGAAAGGGGAATAGACTCATAGACCCTTTAGGAGTTTTTTTTATGTGAGAAAGTGGCAAGCGAGTTGGCGGTTCACCTGATGTTAAGTGATAACCATCACCCATGGAATTTTGCAACACTTTTTATAAAGTGGACCACGCCTGCCTCACTCACCAGACGAAACACAGAAGTGTATCACTTCCACTTTACGCCGGTCTTGTGTGAGGTCGTGGTACTTCCCCGGACGAACCTGACCATTCGTGGAACAGCGAAGACTGTAGAGTGGCTCAATGACCTATGCTAAAGAGAAGGCAATGAGGAAAAAAAAAGAAAGCCACAGCCTATACAATTGTGTCCTACTGCTGGACGAATGCCTCCTCTATACAGAGGGATTGAGCATAGTCGACCACGCGGCCCTATTGCACTTAAAATTGAACCCGGGTTTCTCGAGTATATGAATTAAAAGCGAGCGCCCGGACACTGAGCTATCACGGCTCTCAACTACTTCAGATTATTACAGGTCGTGAACCCTTACGGTCCAGCTAGCCTATTTGTGCAAAGCCTAAGCGGTTGCGTTTCTCTATCGACGTATTAAAGATATATATTGTTGACGTGCAAGTTTTTCTCTGTCGTGGTAAATTTGTAGCCAGTAAGCTTAGTCAAACCCCCCCCCCCCCCCTCCCTGTAACGCTTGGAATTACATGAGCTGACTGAAAGGAAGATAGCCTTTACGTCTATCTTTGTGTATTGTACATTAACAGACCTTAAAAACATGGGCACAATTCTTTTATTTCTGCTTAGCTGATCAGTTTCGGTGAAGTTATATCGTTAGGTTATATTGTTACTATAATTTTATTTTTATTTTATGCGCTTCATCATAAAACATGATTAAAAAATAGAAAAGTTTTCTATTTTTTATGCAATCTAATAACTTCTCCAACAACTATATTGATGGAGAAGTTATTAGATTGCATAAATAAATTAAACTAATACATTTATTCAGTTAATGACTTAGCGGCGATGAATTATCGAGATCTTTTCAATAAATCCTATTTTTAATTTCATCATTTAACAACAGCTATCTATAATGTAAAACCCATGAGAGCATGGCATTGTTTGTTCATTGTTGTTTCGTTATGTTGTTGTCATAATTTATTCGACTTTAGTCATCATTTTATTAAATGCTATTTTAAATTTAGAACTAGAATACATAGTTTAACTTGTACGTTTATTATATCCATAGGTACTTAGAAAATTTTATCAGTACTTATTATTATTTATGTATTAAAGAGTTCTTATAATGTTTTAAAAAATATGCCATAAATTATCATTAACATAAGCCATAGTAGGCAGACAGCCCTAAGTTAAAGCGTTTTCAATCTATCAGTGAGTTCGATTTTACGAAATATTTCTTTTAAAGGACTTGTTATATATAATATGTTTAATCCACGAGCAAACAGTATATCGCGACATGCGAATTGTGACAGGTTCATCTGTCAAATGAATCTTCCAGAATGTGAATAGCACGAGTAATTTCTAGCTACCCTGTAAAATACTGATATTTAGTACATCTACGGTGTTTTACACATTATTACGGCTTTATTCTTTCATCGCAATATCACCGTCCTGATAGCGCTATCGATTTTATCAGTTTTATATCGTTCGGGCGTCAAGTATTCCCAGTACAAATGATGTCAGTACAACGCCCAAAGCTCCTTTGTTTCATTCTGTATTAAAGTGAAAATTAGATGTAGCTTTAAAGAGTCTATAACGTTACGTAAATGGCACAGCTCATTTGTAGGGGCTATTCTAAATTTTCTTTACTTAAAACACTGGCACTACAAAGTAATGTAGTCATCCTAATATCATCAGAACCGTGAATAAAAATTTCCCAATAATGGGTATTTTATCTCTGCTGACTAAATAACCTTATTTTTAAAAACAATACACTGGTGCTTCAGTATACCAAAATTAATGTTGTCTAAAGCATTGACCCAAAAACTCTCGTATGTTGGCACTGCGATGAAATCATTCTAATTTTAACTGTTATAAATTTTTTACTGTGCCGTTTTATCTTTTCAAGATACGGGCCCTTATCGTACCTAATTGGATACATCGAAGTTTGCTTTATACACCAACCAGTTACGAATGCCTTAGCTCGGTTTCGGGCATAAGGTATATGTTTTAATTGATCGCGTTATACAGTTGGGTGAGGCCATTATCTAAGTGCCATTGCTAATGTGCGATAAAGTCGTAGGATACTTACACTACATGTATATTTAGTACGTGGATGTATAAATTATTTCATCTTAGTAATCAATAGTAGGTAATAATAAATGTGGCCAGAGTGAGATAGATGCGATAAGTAATTGACAAAAACATTAACTACACAATTTCATAGCTATTTCAAGACTTCGCGACTTAATGTTTCTATGGTCTGGTCTTGGAATATACTGTAAAACCCAATTCCGCCTTGTTATTTGTTTAAAATGCAATAGGCAAATTATTAGAGCTCTGTCCTTTTTGTAGGATATTGTTTCCAACACTATATCAGCTTAGGATACATGTTATGTTGAATTTCCGGTTTAGTCATCAGTTTTACTTAAATGAACAAAGCAGTAATAATCACACGAATCTTCTAACATCCAAAGAAGGCCACAATTAACGTTCGTTATTAAACATAATATTACGGTTAGTCAATGAACTAGAGGCTTTATGTATTTTGCGATTGAATCATCGTATCTGACTCACCCGAGTTCGAGATACTTACAAGATAGTTAATGTGAGGTACTGTTGAATGCAATGAAATAATCGTAACTATATTTGGGACAAGTTTGAATCAGATCATTAAAATAGGATCTTAGTAAGTTCGAGCGATTAGACTAACTAGTCCCGAGAGCGTGGAAATCAGGTGTTCTGCGAACAACACAGCAACATAATCTGTTAGGCTGAAACCTATTAAAATATGTTCTGTTATTATATATGTTACTATAATGTCTTTTAAAATAATAGAAACATTTTCTTCTTTTAGGTTGTTAATGAATTCTTTTAACATCCCTTAAATATCACAGATACCTAAACGCTATGGAAATCAAAACATATTTTTATGTATTAGCAATAGAGATAGTGAAATTATCAATAAGCAACTGATGCGGACATATCAATTCTGTTTTATAAAATCAATAGACTTTGTCTCTACATTCCATCTTTCTTTCTATACTCCATGACGTTAGTGAAGATTTGATAATGATGTTTTAACCTACCGTATTCGGTGTTTGTACTGGCCGTTGTGCTCGGATTCAACACCTGCCTTTCATTTTGCATGTCGTTTGAATCGAAATCTATGGCGGTAAGTTCGGGAACCGCTCCATCCACTGTGTCATCGGACATCTGATACTTTCCATTTCTCACTTGCAATGTATCCGAATCTGATATCACTTCGACAGGTTGTGTTCCTTCCAACACTTCCACGTTCACTTGTTGCTCATCCTCTACTCCTTCTTCTATCTTAGCTTCAACGTCACTTACAGTTCTTTCTTCTTCTTCGTTTATGATAGCATCTTGTCCAATAACACTAGCACTAATAGCTAAAATAACGAATAAAACTAATTTGATTTTAACACTCATCGTTTATAGCACTAATCCCAATTTTCATCACATTATTTGAGGTCACACGTTGGCATTATCTCATCGACGATACGTTTTTTATATAACGACAGGTGCCTCACTATTATGGCCAGCGACTGAAGAGTTGGTACATTGTGTGCCCGTTGATATGGTGTTATCTTCTGTAAACATGATAAGATAGCAAATAGGAGCGTTAGGTGTGCCAAATTCTTTGTCATAATCCACGCAGCCCTGCGTTATTAGGGCTCCGTATTTGCTTTATTCAAATAAAACGTTACGCACACGTTAAGATTTAGGGGCCCACTGGGTTTTCTTAATCAGATTTTTATGGGGTCACATATACATATAACCTCGTTTATTATTTATTTAATGAGCGTATTACTTGATTAAAATGTTCAATCGATATATCCATATTTGTTGTTTACTCCTTGAGATAGCTCAGTGTCCGGGCGCTCGCCTTTAATTCGATATACTCGAGCAACTTGAGTTCGATCCCCGGTGAGGGCACCAATAAAATTGTTAATTTTAAGTGCTGAATTATCACCGGCTCAGCGGTGAAGGTAAACATCGTGAGGAAAACTGCATGTTAACGAAATAATAACAAAAAAAAAAAATAATATCGACGATATGTGAAGTCCGCCAACACGCAGTGGGAGATGTATAGGCTGATAGTTTATTTTACTTCTTGTTAATTAAATGACTACCTCTTTTGTATGAGACCAATGACACATACAAAACTCTAGTTACTAAATATGTTTTGAATGAATTATGGGTTGCAAAAATAGTTTTCCCGTACGAGAATCAAAATCAGGAACCCCAAGGCCGAAACCAATACCTCGGCAATTGCGCCACGCAGTCATCATAGTTTCATTGTGTTCATAATGTCATCTTTATTATGTTCTTTTTTATTGTATTTAGTTCGACTATCGCACCTGATAGCGAATGACATGGTAGCTGTAGATTGTAATAATTAATTAATAAAAATTAATAACTAATAATTCATGATGAATTCAAGATGACGCCCCTAAGCTCAGCTATATAAAGTTTGTTTATAACAAACAATCTTCTAGACTTGCATGATTTCAATAAGCACGCATGAAGAAACCGAAGTTAAGTCAGTTGCTTCATCACGACCGATTCAATGTTTTACGAAAAAGTAACGTCAATCATCACAGCGTCTTTCATTTTCGACAAATTTCACTGTGGTAGGGCCACGCAACAGTGTTCACTGTTGCATGAATGGGCAGGTCCGTCCAGCTAAGTACTTTGCCACTTTTTCACATAAAAAAAAAAACAACGATTGAAGACGACCAAAGTCACGCTATATTAACGGACAACGATGCACCCGAACCCTTAGAAAATAAATATTTTCGGGCACATTTATTCCACAACGTTTTCTAGTCCCAAAATAAGCAACGCTTGTACTAGATAACTGATAAACCTACTTAAACATACTTTTGTAAATAAATACATACTAAAAATATATAAACACCCAGACACCGGAAAACACTATGTTCACACAACATTCTTCCAGTAGTGGGGATCGCACCCACACCCTCAGGCGCAATGGGCAGGTTCACTACTCAATACGCCAATCGGGTCGAAAAGACTATACGTGGTGGAACAAACGAAATCTGTTCACTCGGGAACATGTCCTCAGATACACCTGCAATTGAAGTCATTTCTTCCTTCGGCTCTAGTCATCAACTATGTTGTTTTACTCAGTTTAGTATCAGTAGCTGGAGGTGGTTTGTTTTTTTCTGGTAAATCGTGTATTTTGGAAATTATATTTAGATACAAATTAATGAGTAATGAAATGTGCATAATATTTTTAGATATTACCGACGTAATAAAAAGAAAGTATGAACTGGTGTTGAACTGGTCATGAACTGAAGTTTACTGTCATATTCGAATGATGTTTTTCATTCCCTGAAAACAGGGATAAAAGGATATTTTCCAAAAATGAAGACTACAATTGAGAAATACAAGAATTGCTCGTTTAAAGGATAGGATTATCTTTTCGTGTATTTGGTGACCAATACATAATATATTGATGTTTTGTCTAGCCTTTTTCCTTAATCCAAAAGTTTAAAATTAAAAATGCTCGCTTTGCTTTCAAAATCTTTTCATTGACATCTAAGCTTGTTTATTTTTATATATATTTTTAATATAAATTATACTTATATAAAAGTAAGAGTATGAGAACATACAATGTCCAGAGAAAACGGAACATGAAGACAAGGAAGTGTTGAGGCTTCTGATGTTGACAATACTCAGTATTTAGTTACCGATACGAGAATTTATAGCGGCCGCCTTTTTACTGTTTACTTACAGGATGTTTTAATTGGCCAGAGTGTTTTCGTTAATTTTTTACATATTTTTCATTGTTAAAAAACAAGTAATGAGTGTTTTTAATGAATATTTGTGAAGCGAGCAGGTGGTTCACATAATGTTAAATTACACCGCACACTTAAAACACTACCGCCCATGGACATGTGCAACACCCGATAGTTTACTGATGCGTTGACAACTCACCAGACGAAAAGCTAAATGTCACTTCACGCCCGTCTTCCGTGAGGCCACGACTTCCAAGTACAACCTGCGAGCAACGGTTCCTAAGTTACTTTGGCCACATAATGAGAAGAGGAGACGAAAGCTTAGAAAGGTCGATCGTAGTTGGAAACACTGAATGCAATTGCGCCATGGAGTCATCATAGTGTCATTGTGTTCAAAAATAGAGTCATTTTCATTAAGTTCTTTTTTATTGTATTTAGTTCGACGTGATCACGTGGCGTAAAATGGAAGTATAAAAATACTTTCGCGCTTCCTCTGGTGAGTGAGGTAGCTGGAGCCCAATTTTCAAAAGGTTGACAACGCATCTGTTACCCTCGAGTGTGGCAGATGTCCATGGGCGGCGGTATTCACTTAACATCAGGCGACCCGTCTGCTCGTTTGACAACTTTTCGCATAAAAAAAATCTTGACCAGCACGATGGACCGACCAGCTCAGAGACACAGAACCGTCTCGGAAGTTCTATGATGTGGTAAGGACCGTGATGGACAGGAATTCATGGAGAGATCTCATTTGTGCTCGAACAACGACCACGAACCACGATCATCATACATTATGGACACGACCAGGAAGAAAGAAGTGGTATTTCCGTACTAGCCTGCTCTTTCGTGCAGCAGAAACTGTTGCGTGGCCTTACCACAGTGAAGATTGTCATCATCATAATAAAATGTTAACCTAAATATAGTTAAAAATCAGAACGGCTTGTCTACCGAGGTAACTAACCAAAGATCCCTCAATCCCAAGATGCAATTATTACACACGGATTAATACAATAATATCTACGGTGGTAGGGCCACGCAGCAGCCTCGGCTGTTGCACGAATGGGCAGGCCCGTCCGGGTAAGTATCACGACAGAAGACCAGCGTAAACTGGAAGTATGACAAATACTTTCGCGTTTCGTTTGGTGAGTGAGGTAGCCGGAGGTCAATTTTCAAAAGGTTTTCAACGCATCTGTAACCCTCGGGTGTAGCAGATGTCCATGGGCGGCGGTATTCACTTACCATCAGGTGAACCGTCTGCCCGTTTGGCAACTTTTCGCATAAAAAAAAAACATTCCCTTGACATGATACACCCTTTGGGTGTAGTATTTTGTTAAACTATAACTCCACGCGCACCTCTCCTGTTTAGTCTAATCACTTTTCAAATGACATAAATATTATTGAAATATAGAATGAGAGAAAAATAATTGGCAGGCATGGCCAAATGTGTGCTCAGTAAGGCGAGACTGCTCGTCGCCTAAATATATATAAGGTAAATTCGGCCCCACATTTCAATGTGGATCTCGTGTGTAGATGATGACAGTACTATTCTCATCTCTGGGCAGGTACTAGCTACCCATTTGACCGCATTCAACGTAGGATGGCTCGGGTTGTTTACGATCGAGCTCTTTCCGATCCGAATGATCCTACGCTCTGCGTAAAGTTTTTGGATCACATCTGCACCTTCTACCGCATTTATCTCGGAGAGTGTTCTAAGGAATTGTTTGGATCCCGGCCGCCGAATTCCACTATCGGAAATGGCGCCATAGCCAGAAATTACATCCACACCACCGCGATTTCACTTCACTTCATAGAAGGGCCCTTTATATCTTCTGTCATTTCTTTTATAAACATGAAAATCTGTGCAGTTTGTATACATCACAAGTTCTTTACATCCTAAAAAAAGTCAACACAAAGTCGCTTACAACAGCCGCCTTTATCGATAAGAATATTTCTTGATACATTGGCTTTATTCGTCGTATTTAGATAACTACAGTTCAATTAATCATGATAAAGTCCGCTCAAGACAATATAGAACTCTACCCCATTGATATAAAGATCGATATAGCTTAGCACCGCAATTAAGTTACACAAACTTATGTTATTGTAGTGACTAACGCATTTTGTTTGCAGGAATAAGAGGTACTCGTACTTCCTGTTCGGTAGTAATTTGAGGTGTTAAGTCCTTAGTCATACGCGGATTGATGGAAAATCTTTCAAACTTACATCAGTATAAAGTCGTTTCGTTAGCGATTTATTAACAACTTGTAATACGTTACCATTACCCCATCATATCATATGATGATGGGCTGCCGATTTGTGCTTACTAATAAACATATGCTTTCAACTGATATTAAGTGATTACCGTCACATATGATGCCGTGGTTAGAGCAAAGGTTCAGTCGCTTTGCCTGCAGTAAGAGAACTTGCTAATAGTTTAGGTAAAATATTCATCGCGTGGTTTACAAACATGCTGTTTACTCTGCTGCAGTTAACATGCAATAGATTAATGAGTAAGTTTATAGCGTTTATCGATAAGAAAGGTTAAGTTATCTGCATTGAGTTGTGTGTATATATTTGCATAGTCATTTGTTTTTTCTTGAACATAGTTCCTTAACGCACGGCAGTATAAGAATTTTTCCGTCACGAGAAAAGCATGGCAACAACTTT